CGCTTAAAAGCCTTCCAAGGCTCTCCACTGTCTTCCGACCAATCCAAATTCCTGTGGAAGAACAAGGTTTGATGTGTTCCCATTTGAATCTGCCATCCCTGTGAGATTAAACTAAAACTTTGCCCTTAAACAATTATGAAGGTGCTCTTTATTACTTTTCAGTAGTTCATGATAACAAGAGACAGAACCTATCATAATTAAACTTAAATATGACCTTGGCCCCACGTAGATAGTCTCTCTTTATTATGCTCTTGATTCATCAGAACATATTCTCTAATCTTCTCTTCCTTACTTTATTAAAGAGGAAAACAACTAGCACAGAAGTCTATCAAATTTTCAAATTACTTGTTTCAACAAGATTATTTACTCCCAAGATGTCTCACCAAATAATGATATGATCAATATTTTATCTTAATTTTAATCAAAGAGGAATAAAAATGGAAGACAAATAATTTTTATTTCCACACGTCTTAGCTTGGCATCCAATGCTTTGGCCATGGCTTGCCTCTTAGCCCCATCTCTCACCAGGCCTTCCCTTCAAGTCTGAGCTCTGTCCATACGAACTACTGGCACCTTCCAGAAAGTGCCATGCCATTTACAATTTTGTGTCTGTGCTCCTTTACCAATCTTACCCAAGTCTTACGGAAAACGTTGATGCCAATAGACAGCTGGTTATAAATGCATCTATAGGGGCCCCTGGGTGACTCAGTCGTTAAGTGTCTGCCTTCAGCTCAGGTCATGATCCCAGGGTCCTGGGATCGAGCCCCGCATTGAGCCCCACATCTAGCCCTGCATTGGGCTCCCTGCTCAGCAAGAAACCTGCTTCTCCCTCTCTCACTCCCCTTGCTTCTGTTCCTTCTCTTGCTGTGTCTCTCTGTGTCAAATAAATAAATAAAATCTTTAATAAATAAATAAAATCTTTAAAAATTAAAAATAAAAAAATAAATGCATCTATAACACTTCCTTTCACTTTCTGATTTGTGTCTATTGCCCCTACTAGGTTATAACTTTCTCGGAAACAGAAACCATGTCATTAATTTTTTTCTCCCCAGAGCTTAAGTGTCCAACACAAATGTTCATTAACTATCTGTGGATCTATCTGCCACATAGATCATTTTTTACGTGCTAAAAACATCCAGAATAACAACAGGAGTTGAACTGGAAGGGAAGTCCACGACGTAAGTGTCCAAGTCTGCAAATAACTTAGGAAGACCTAGAACTGATGGATTACCCAAAAAGGATGATAGCAGATGTATACAGTAAATGTAAAGAGGATGGCAGATAGTATAAGGCTTGAAGGACAAAGGGGTTTTGCACCTAAGTGGATGAAAGCTCAAGGGGACACCAACTGAATGGCAACACTGCCTCCCAGTGGCACCTAGGATAACAGCTTCTATACCAGAGCATTTGTACAGAATTAGACAGCTTTCTCACACTTTGTAGTAGTGGCCTATGAGTTAACTGTGCTAGGGACCTCTCACTTTATCTCATTTAATTCTCATGACAACCCCTTGTAGAGACACAGCATGCAGCTTAGGGGTTAAATGCAGAGAGCTATCTGGCTGGTGTGACCTTGGACAAAGTATTTAAATTCTCTGAATATTTCCCCATCTACAAAATAGGACTCATATAGGGTTATGAGGGGTAAATTTTTTTTACTCACAACCCTGAGATCAAAACCCAAGCTGAGATCAAGAGTCAGACACTCAATGGACTGAGCCACCCAAGTTTCTGGATAAATTCTTTTTTTTTTTTTTTAAGATTTTATTTATTTATTTGACAGAGACAGATAGCCAGAGAGAGAACACAAGCAGGATAAGTGGGAGAGAGAGAAGCAGGCTTCCCGCTGAGCAGGGAGCCTGATGCGGGGCTCGATCCCAGGACCCTGGGATCATGACCTGAGCCAAAGGCAGACACTTAACGACTGAGCCACCCAGGTGCCCCTGATAAATTCTTTTTTTAAACAATTCTATACATTACTCAGTGCTTACCACGGTAAGTATAGCCACCATCTGTCACCAAACAGTATTATTACCATCTTATTGAATATATTCCCTATGCTGTACTTTTCATCTCCATGACTTATTTATTTTATAACTGGAAGTTAATCCTTCTTAATCCCCTTTATCTATTTTACCCATCCCCCCACCCACCTCACCTCCAGCAACCACCATTTTGTTTTCTGTATTTAAGAGTCTGGTTTTTTGTTTGTCTCTTTGTTTTGTTTCTTAGATTCTACATGAGTGAAATCATAAGGTATCTGTCTCTGTCTCACTTATTTCACTTAGCATAATACTCTCTAGGTCCATTCATGTTGTTGCAAATGGCAAGATCCCATTCTCTTTTTTTTTTTTTTTTAAGATTTCATTTATTTATTTGAGACAGAGAGAATGAGAGAGACAGAGAGCACATGAGAGGGGGGAGGGTGAGAGGGAGAAGCAGGCTCCCTGCCGAGCAGGGAGCCCGATGCAGGACTTGATCCTGGGACTCCAGGATCATGACCTGAGCCGAAGGCAGTCGCTTAACCAACTGAGCCACCCAGGCGCCCGATCCCATTCTCTTTTATGACTAAGCAATATTCCATTGTGTGTGTGTGTGTGTGTTTATATATATATATATATATATATATATATATATATACATCTTTGCCCATTCATCTATTGGTGGATATTTGGGTTGCTTAGATATCTTTGCTACTGTAAATAATGCTACAATAAACATAGGGGTGCACATATCTTTTCTAATTAGTGCTTTTCTTTTCTTTTTTAAATTTTTAAAAAGATTTTATTTGTTTGAGAAAGAGCGAGAGAGAGAACACAGAAGTAGAGGGAGAAGCAGAATCCCCACTGAGCAGGGAGCCTGACATGGGGCTCAATCCCAGGACCCCAAGATCATGACCCAAGCTGAAGGCAGACGCCTAACCAACTGAGCCACCCAGGCGCCCCAGTGCTTTCGTTTTCTTTGGGTAAATACCCAGTAGTGGAATTACTGAATCATATGGTATTTCTATTTTAATTTTTTGAGGAAACTCCTTACTGTTTTCCACAGTGGCTGCACCAATTTACATTTCCACCAACAGTCCACAAGGGTTCTTTTTTCTCTACATCCTCACCAACACCTATTATTTCTTGTCTTTTTCATTTTAGCCATTCTGACAGGTGGAAGGTGGAAGAATAAATTCTCAAAGGGTACCTAACAGCATAGCAAATGCTATATAAACACTAGCTATTATTATTCCCTTTTTCCTGATGAGAAAACTATTGTTAAATAAATCGAGCAGATAGTAAGAACTCAAAAAACATAACTTCCTTTGCTTTCTCCCCTTACATCTTAGCTCCTTCTGGTGTTGCCCTCCTTAGTGGTCCTGAAATTCAAACAGGGGACTCCCAAATATCCCAAAGAAGTCAGTTCCTAAAGGTAGCAATGAGAAAACTGAGAAACCTCCATTAAACAGTCCAGACGGATATGGTTCTGGAAAAGAGCACTCCCCAGAGCACTCTTGTCATTATTATTAAAGACCTTCCCAGTAACAAAACTCACCCTACCCAAAACAAGATGCATAAGGATTATGAAAATCAACTAAGATCTGTGCAGGAAACCAGATTTCAAGGAATATTCAAATAAGTATGATCTGTCCAGAGCCCATTTTGACCACTTTGCCCACAGAAGCTGAAAGACCATGATCATTTTCTAATTAGGCTAATAATAACTTACTAGAGACTCTATTCTCTCCCTGCTCTCCTACTGTTACTGCAAACATAAAATTCATGAAAATGATGGTTTTTAAGTGACATGATATCTTTGTGATTATAGACTGCCCACCCAGTCCACATTTGCAATGAGGTGTATCTTTACCAGGTAAGATTGATTGGCAGATCTGCACATTAGTATCAGACAGGCTCCTTTTATACTTGTAAAGCTCTCCATGATTCTGCAAGATTCCTCTAATTCAGATTTTAGCATTCCCGGGTGTTCTATTTGAGAGACTGAATATACAAACAGTGGCCAGACCATATATAAAAACAGAACTCTGAGGGCTGCTGGGTGGCTCAGCTCGTAGAACATGCAACTCAGGGTTGTGAGTTCAAGCCCCAAGTTGGGGGTAGAGTTTATGTAAAAACAAAAACAAAACAGAACTGTGACCTACAACCTGAAGAAGCCAACCCAGGTAACCAATCCCCTTATCTGTAATAAACAGCTCAGGAAGGCAGCCTGCTATAAGTCAGATTTGCAGAAGTCAGACCTGCAGAAGTCAGACCATTGTCTCTAGTAACCCCTGTAACAATTGGCCCCAAATGGCCAGGACTTGATTAATAAATATCAGCTTCCCCAGATTTTGTGGCCACTTCCAATTTAGGACCAACCAGAGAAAGCCAAATATGCGCTCCTAACCAATCACACAGAATGCCCCTACTCCTAGTTATCCCAACTACAGCTTTCCCGTTGCAAAGAGCCTTGAATTAACGCATACCTGAAACGTCCCTTCGCCCCCACTATAAAGCTTCCTGCCTCCCTTTGAGTCTCTGCCAAAACTCAAGTGTCTGCAGCTGACCCCCCTTGCTATACAGCAAGCTCTGAATAAATAGCCTTTGATTTTCTTATTTGGTTGGTCTTCGTTTATTTCCACATATTGGACCTAGTAATTCTATGAAGAATTAATTTCCAAACCCTCTCAAAAAGACATTGGCTTAGGGGGGCCTGGGTGGCTCAGTCGTTTGTCGGCCTTGGGCTTGGGTCATTATCCCAGGGTCCTAAGATCGAGCCCTGCATTGGGCTCCTTGCTCAGAGTGGAGCCTGCTTCTCCCTCTGCCTCTGCCTGCAGCTCTGCCTGCTTTCTCTCTGAAATGAATAAAATCTTAAAAAAAAAAAAAGATATTGCTTTGCATTGTTTAAATGCGTTATTTCTAAAACATTCATAAAGTTAGCGGGAAACATTTTTTACTTCATCTTAATAACCTAAGCCAATATGCTCAAGGGCTCACCTTTCTGTAGGAGACTTTTCTTCCTGAAATGGGAGCGGCTTTCTTCTACCCACCAGAGCAGCTGACCTAGTGAGGACGCCGAAAGGCCGAGACCACGCCGCGCTCAGGCCAACCCCCAAGTGGGAACTACAATTCCCAGCGGCCCGTGCAGACGCCAGACCGCGGGCACAGTGCGCCTGCGCAGTGTCAGAGGCTCCGGCTGTGTGGTTCCCGCCAATTCTTGCCGTAACACTGCGGACGTTGAGTCCCGCGCTCCATGGCGACGTTTGACCCAGCCGAGCTGCCTGAGCTGCTTAAGCTTTACTACCGGAGGCTTTTTCCCTACGCCCAGTACTATCGTTGGCTCAACTATGGCGGAGGTGATGGAAGCCGGGAGCGGAGTGGGTAGTTCGGCGGGGAGGGCGAGGAGGTTCTGGGAGGGCCCCTGGAACGACAATATGAAGTGCCTCCTGTGCGCTAGGCATTGTGCCGGGCGCCTTCGCGCCTTATCTCGAGCCCTCCCCACCACCTCAGAGGTATAAATGGGCCGAGAGAGGTTACGGTAACCAGCCTCCGGCCACGCAGTAAAAGAAAGAGCCGCTGCTCCTACCACTACGTGGTGGGACTCACATTCAGTGCCCCGTTTACCTACCGCGGTGCCTGAGTCAGGGAGATTACTGGGTCGTAGCCTGAAGCTGCAGAGGCGTGTTCTGTATCAGGGACAGCGGGGCATCTCCCGGAAGACGAGAGGTACTGAACTCTTCGCAGCTGAACTTAGTAGTGTCCACCGAGGAGAGACAGGGGACATTACATCTTTAAAATATTTCTGCATATTTTTCCTCATTTTTACTTTCCTATCAGATGCAGGATGGTAAGCCCCTTTAGATTGGGGACTAGGTCTTTTTTTTTTCTTTTTAACGTGTAACACAGTGTTGGGCACAGAGGGCTCATTAAAAATATCTTATCATTGGTTAATGTTTTAATGCCCCGAGCTGAATAAATTACCAAGTTAACTTTAAAATTGTATATTTATTTTGCAGTAATAAAGAATTACTTTCAACACCGTGAATTTTCATTCACATTGAAAGATGATATTTACATTCGCTACCAATCCTTCAACAACCAGAGTGATCTGGAAAAGGAGATGCAGAAAATGAATCCATACAAGATTGATATAGGCGCGGTATATTCCCACAGAGTAAGAAATCGGTTTTTTATGTATTCTAGTTTTGTTGTTTAAACCAAGAATGGATTGGTGCTCCCATTGTTTTGAGGTTAAATTTTTAGAGTTTATTCTAGTTGAGTCCCACTTTAACTTTTTGCAAGTAGATTGCAGTATTTTTTGTTCTTTGATATTCTACATTACTGACTGGAAACCATTTGGAAGTAAGTTGGTTGTATTCTCACTAGGACAAAAATATTGAGTATCTGGCCAAAAGAGTAAATGAGGAAGTCAGCATGGTTTAAAGGAGCGTATTTTAAAAGAATTACATTGTCTTCCAGCATTGGAGGTGTTTTATTTTGTTTTGTTTTTGTTTTTGCATTTTTTTATTTTATTATTTTTGGTTTTTAAGTAATCTCTATATCCAATGTGACCCGGAGATCTAGAGTCACATGCTCTACCAACTGAGCCAGGCCAGCACCCCATGGAGTTATTCTTGATTCCTCTATTTCTCTCATACTCCTATATCTATTCCATTAGGAAATCTCTTTAGCTCTACCAAAATAGTATCTGAAATCCAACCACTGGTACCAGTGCTACTACCATCCTCATCATCTTTCATCTGAATTACTGTAAAAACTTCCTAACAATTTGCTCCTATAGACTCCAGAGTCTATTCTCAACACAGTTGCCAGAGCACTCCTTTTAAAACAAGTTAGATTCTGTGATTCCTCTGCTCAAAACCATTCTCTGGTGGCTCCCATTTCACTCAGAGTAAAAGCCCCTCTCTCCCCCCTCACTCACTCTGCTCCTGCCACACTGACCCTTGCTCAGGCAGTTTCCAGTGCCCAGAACCCATTTCCCCAGATATCTCCTTGGTTCCTTCCCTCACCTCCTCAAGTCTTCATTCAGTGAGGCCTACTGCAACCTGCCACTCCTCTTACCCATTGCCACTGATGTAGTCTAAATGTCTAGAATAGTGCCTGGCAGAGAGAGTACACCATAAGTATTTGATGAATGAATGAACATACCAAAATTGCCCTTCTTTCTCTCCTTAAAAATACACACAAGGGGTGGGGGAGAGGTACCTGGGTGGCTCAGTTGGTTAAGCATCTGCTTTTTGCCTTCAACAACGGTCATGGTCCCAGGGTCCTGGGATCAGGCTCCCTGCTCAGTGGGGAGTTTGCTTCTCTCTCTCCCTCTGCCCCTCTCCCCTGCTCGTGCTTTCTCTCTTGCTTTTGCTTGCCCTCTATCTCTCTCTCTCAAGTAAATAAATTTAATAAAAAATCTAAAAAAAAAAAAAATACACACATGGGGGAGAAACACACTCATGGGATAATAGCTTTTGTATGGAGCTTTTTCTTTTTTTTTCCCCTAAGATTTATTTATTTATTTATTTTAGAGAGAGAGAGAGTGCACACGCCCAGCAGGGAGAGAGGCAGAGGGAAAGAATCTCAAGCAGTCTGCGCAGAGCATGGAGCTCAACGCCAGGCTTGACCTAGTGACCCTGAGATCATGACCTGATCCAAAATCAAAAATCAGACACTTGGGCACCTGGGTGGCTCAGTTGGTTAAGCGACTGCCTTCGGCTCAGGTCATGATCCTGGAGTCCCTGGATCGAGTCCCGCATCGGGCTCCCTGCTCGGCAGGGAGTCTGCTTCTCCCTCTCATGCTCTCTGTCTCTCATTCTCTCTGTCTCAAATAAATAAATAAAATCTTTAAAAAAAAAAAAAATCAGACACTTAACTGAATGAACCACCCAGGTGCCCCAGGCTTTTTTTTTTAAGGGTCTCCTACTCCCATTATTTTCTGCTCCCCAGAGGCAACTACTTTCTTTTTAGCTGATACTTAAGGTATTTGCCCCTTGTGTGTAAATAACATTTTAATATTTCTTTCATTTTCCATTTTAAGCATTATCTACTGACCTTCTACTCTGGCAGATAAGGATTTAGCTTTTTTTTTTTTTTTTAACCTCACCGCTTACCTTCCCATTTCCACATGTCCTAATATGTTTGTTAGATTAAAAATCAGGATTAGATCACTAACTCAACCCCAGACTTCTTACCAATTGTCTAAATCTCCCCATGTATTCAGATCCATCAGGTAGTTTGTCAGTTTCATCCTGAAGAAATTTCACTGGCAGCTTTCTGACCTCCAACCTGGACTGATGGCTCTCTCTAAGCCTCATGGATAAATATGGTCTTGTAATCACCCCGGTTTCCTTTCATCTCTCTCCCATTTTGGATCCTGTGTTGCCCAAATCCTTTGTTCTCTTTTTGGTTTACTTCCTCTTTAAGGTAGAGTACATCTTCCAGGAGCTTCCAGAGAAAAGGTGCATGGAAAAGAAAATATTGGACACTTTCTGTATCTGGAAAATGACTTCATTCTACCTTTATGCTTAACTAATGGTTGAGTTTGTAAATCAGTTTCCCTTAGAATTTTGCATGGTATGCTAGTTTCCAGTGTTGCTGTTAAGAAGACTAATGCCATTCTGATTCTTGCTCCACTGTGTTGGACCTGAAAGCTCTTAGGATTTTCTACCTATCCCCTCTGTTCTAATGTACTAAAATTTCACAATGATGTGCCTTGGCGTGCATCTTTTTCACCTATTGTGCTAGATACTTGATGGGCTCTTATGATCATGAACTCATGTCCTTCAATGCTGGGAAATTTCCTTTTAAGATTTTATTTTGAAGTTTAAAAAAAAAAAGATTTTAAGTAATCCCTGTACCCAACATGGGGCTCGAACTTACAACCCAGAGATCAAGAGTCATGCTCTACCGACTGAAACAGCCAGGCACCCACACCTATCTTTTCTTTCTTAAATACAATTTTTTCTATCTATAATTTTTCTTTGGTCTCTCTAGAAATCCAAAAGTTCGATGTTATGTGTCTTGGACTGGTCCACTAATTATTTTTTTTTCCTCCTATTTTCTATTTTTTTGTTCTTTTACTCTACTTGCTGAGGAATTTCCTCAGAGGTTTTCACTTCTGCTATTATATTTTAATTTCCAAGAATTTTTTTAGAGCATCTTGTACTTTTTTTATTGATATGTCTTATCTTTCTGAGGATATCAATGATAGTTTGTTTTCTGTTGTACAGTCTGTTTTCTCAAAGTTGCTTTTATTTTCCTGTTTTTTCTCTTTCATATTAGAGGCTTTCCTCATAAGTCTGGTAATTTCTTGCATGCTGTTTATATTTAAAAATAGAGTACTAAAAAAGCTGATTGGAAGTTGTGTATACATGGCTGAGATTTCTTTATTACAGGGTGATCTGGCTGGGCCATTTTGGGGGGAAGAAGCTCCAACGTCAGTTTCTCTAGATCTTTGCTTGAATGAAAACTCCACTAGCACAGAGATCTTTGTTTTGATCACTGATCTTCTATTCCAGAGCCTATAATAGTGCCTGACATTCCTGATCAGATTTTTCAGAGAGGAATCTTCTGGTCTCCTGCCTGGGGTGGCAGTGATAGGATATAGAAGTGGGGGAGAGGGATCTTAACTTTCCACACATAGATGTCCACTTAATCCCCTGTATGTCAGTACAATACACTTTCTTCAATTGTGCTTTTGTTCCTAACCCCCATCCCAGTCCAGAGAGACCCACTGTTTGAGGTTCTCCAGATAATAATTCAGGTGTCTTTACCAGGGAAATGAAAGCATAGTCACCTGGCTCTGCTAGTAAATGGAGGAATCTGGGGAACTAACTGCTTCATAAGCAGATTTTTAACTGATAACTCCTATTTTTAATCTTAGCTTCACCGCTACCTCTCCCCCCCCCCCCGGGATACCCATTGTCACCTGAGTTTTTGGGGGATGCTGAGGTGTAAATTGGATTGCTTCTTATCTTTCCTTACTGAGAGCTTAAGATTCAGCTCTTATGGGTATTCTTATAAAAATTGTGGTATTTTCTCCTCTCTCGTACTTTTTAATTTTTTTTTATTTTTAAAAAAAAATTTTCCCTGTGGTCCTTTTTTAAAAGACTTAATGCATTTCTTAAGAAAACCTTTACTATCATTTTTGTGCAGGTCTGGAAAGAGCAAGATAAGTATCTGTATTCAGTCTGCTTTATATATACCAGGTAGCCCCTAGCCTCAAAGGAGGCTGCCTGTATACAGGTTGAGCCAAAGGCTCAGTTCAAACTAACTGAGATCTTCTGAATTATTGAAAATTTTTAAATACATTTTTGTTACTTATATGTCCAGTAATAATTAAAGGTCTTTAAAACAATAGGGCATTAATTATTTGCATATACTTTTCCTTATCAGAAACCTAAAAAAGCTTTATTATGATTTCTATTGATTAACAAATATTATTCAATGTTACATATCAACTATATCTCAGTAGAACTGGTAAAAAACAAATATCTGTGGTAATATATATTTATCAAAACCTGTTTTAGGTAGATGAAATTTACATTGTCATCAATTCTGGACGTATAGAATCCAAATTAATGAACTTTAACTGAGTAGAGTTGGCATTATATTATGGTTTTTTCATTCCTCTTTGGCCACTTTCTTTGTGTGGATAGAAAATAGCATAATTGGCAGCATGATAGCTCTTATCAAAACTGAATGATATTTTCTCCTTACAGCCCAATCAACACAATACAGTGAAGCTAGGAGCTTTCCAGGCTCAGGAAAAAGAACTGGTGTTTGACATTGACATGACAGACTATGATGATGTGAGGAGATGTTGTAGGTAAGCACTACATGCCCTGCTGGTAGGGTGGGTGATATCACTGACAGTGAATAATGATGCCTCTGCTCCAGTTCTGCAGACATATGTTCTAAGTGCTGGACCCTCATGACGATGGCCATACGCATAATCGACCGAGCATTGAAGGGCAAGTATTGGCAGTGTCTGAGTGGGGTCAGATGCAAGAATCTGTTTGAGTATTTGTCTATCTATACTATTTTATAATCAAATCTCATAGATTTCTAACATGTTTCCTTGAAACATATGGCTGGAAAATAAAAGATGATTAGAATAAAGTTGTAGTTGAAACTCTAATAAAGCTGTTGATCAAACCAGTGAATTTTTTCTCAAATCAGTCAGCAGCTCTGTGTGCTACAAACTGTCCTAGGTGAGGGAAATATGAAAGATAATGATCGCCTCAAGTAGGTTATACAGTCTAAGAAGGAGACAAATAAAATCGAGGATTACATTTAGAACAGCAGGAGTGCATACAGGAATGGAAAGAGATTGGATCAGAAAAGGTGATGATAAGGATGATAATGATATTAAAAATAGCTAACTCTTGGGGCGCCTGGGTAGCTCAGTTGGTTAAGCCTCCAACTCTTGATTTCAGCTCAGGTCATGATCTCAGAGTCCTGGGATATAGCCCCACACTGGGCTCCAGGCTGGGCAAGGAGCCTGCTTCGGATTCTCTCTCTCTCCCTCTGCCCCTCCCCGCCCCTGTGCATGCACACTCACTCGCTCTCTCTCTCTTTCTCAAAAAAAAAAAAAAGCTAACTTTTGTCCTTGCTTCAGCAGCACATACACTAAAAAGAGCTAACTTTTTTTTTAAGATTTTATTTACTGGGGCACCTGGGTGGCTCAGTTGTTAAGCGTCTGCCTTCGGCTCAGGTCATGATCCCAGAGTCATGGGATTGAGCCCCACATTGGGCTCCCTGCTCAGCTTTGCATCAGGCTCCCTGCTCAGCGGGAAGCCTGCTTCTCCCTCTCCCACTCCCCCGCTTGTGTTCCCTCTCTCGCTGTGTCTCTCTCTGCCAAATAAATAAATAAAATCTTTTAAAAATTTTTAAAAAATAAATAAATAAAGATTTTATTTATTTATTTGGCAGAGAGAGCACAAGCAGGGGGAGCGGCAAACAGAGGGAGACAGAGAAGTGGGCTTCCCGTTGAGCAGAGAGCCTGACGTGGGGCTCAATCCCAGGACCCTGGGATCATGACTGGAGCCCAAGGCAGACACTTAACCAAATGAGCCATGCAGGTGCCCCGAGAGCTAACTCTTAAGAAAAGAAAAAAAAAAAAAAAAGCTAACTCTTAGACAGGGTACTTATTATGTACCAGGCACTGTTCTAAACACTTTAAATTTATTAACTTTTTTAATATCCCTAGATGGGGTCTTAAATGATAAACGGCAATTGGTCAGGAATAGAAATGGAAATGCTGGGGCGTGAAGAAATTCTTGGCAGAGAGAATAGGATAGGTATAGACATGAAGGCAAGACCATGGGAGACACAGGAAACTACACATAATTTAGTATAGTTAAGGTGAGTACATGTGGATAAGAGGTAAAAATGAAGCCAAGGAAGTAAGCAAGAACCAGGAGTTTGTAAATTTATTTATAGATTTTAAAACCTATTATTTCTCCTCTCCTCAGAGGACTTTGGATTTAAGCATCGTCTCTGGGTCTATTCTGGAAGGAGAGGTGTTCATTGTTGGGTCTGTGATGAATCAGTTAGAAAATTGTCCTCTGCAGTACGTTCTGGGATAGTTGAGTATTTGAGTCTTGTAAAGGTAAGATCTCAATAATACTTTACATTTCTTTGTTTGCTAGATGTTATCAAGCCTGAAATGTTTAGTGAAAAAAATGAAACTATCTTTTATAGCATCCACATTCCAGAGTAGATGATCTTAGCAGATCAAATAATCATAGTAGCTACATTTTTTAAAAATCTTTCATATTTTGCTGTAAGTATCCTCCTTTGTAGCAAAAGGAAAATTACTTTTCTGGTTCAATTATGTCAAGCAAAGTTAACCCAGAAAGTTACAGGTATTGAGACTATATAAAATACCATCTAAATTTCTATATTTTGACAGAATTTAATCAATATCTTTAGAACACATAAAAAAATTTATTTCATTTGTGTCATATGAAGTTCTTTTTTGATGGTTTCTTTTTCAGGGTGGTCAAGATGTTAAAAAGAAAGTCCACCTAAGTGAAAAAATTCACCCTTTTATCAGGTCTGTTGGAAAAGACTCCATGCAGTTTAAGTTGTGTCTGATTTACCTACTTGTGCTTTTAGAATTACATTGTTACCAATTTTCTCTCTTGGGGTAACATTTTACAGATAATAATAGCTAAAGTTAATTGAATGGCTCTTTCATGCTGCAGTATTCATGATAGGTGCTTTACAAATGCTCTCATTGGTCTTAACAACTTCATGAGGGACATGATGGTACCTCCATTTATAGTTGAAGTAGGATTTAGAAAGATTGTATAATTTCTTTGGTACCACACAATTGTTAAATTTTTAAGATTCTTGTCCTAATCTGCCTAAATTCAAAACCCATACTCTTTCCACTAAATTCACTACTTCTCTAGGTGAAAAGAGCATTGCAATGAGTAAGAATCTCTATTCTGTGGCTTCCTAAGACTTTGACAAAATATTAGAGCCTCTATTTCCTTAAATGTATCATGGGGAAAACAACATCTGCTCCATCTCTCTCAGAGTTGTGGCAAAGATAAATGAAACAATAGATGTGAAATCTGTTTGCAAACTGCTAAGCACTACATAATTGTTGAGATGTTAAAGCAAGTAATTCAGAGTAGGAACTGTAGACTCTATCCCCCACACTTCTACTGATGTATTATTATGTTGTCCTAGCCTCATTGCTTTCTACCCTTGTTACATATTTATGATGGTATTAACCTGCTAAGTTCTTCCCCCTTAGAATGCCTTAATTAACTCTCATAACCCTTTGAAGGCACATTATTCCCATTTTACATAGCTGATTTCTGTTTGTTAGCTAATTCTGTTTGTCTTCTTATTAGACTAATATATGCTCATTAAAAAAAAAATTAATAGAAGCAAGCACTAGCCTCCCAAATGGCAAGAAAAACTATGTGGTGTATGTGTTACTAATAGTATTAGGACTGTGCTATTGTTATTCCTACAGCAAATCTATAAACATAATAAAAAAATACTTTGAAGAATATGCCTTAGTTGATCAAGATATTCTTGAAAATAAAGAAAGCTGGGATAAGATTTTAGCCCTTGTTCCTGAAAATATCCTTTCCCAAGGCCATTTCTATATGAGCTACATGTATTGATCTATGGTATTATAAATGTGTTCTGCCTACATATTCTCATATACTTTTATAAGTTTAATCTTTTTACACAAAACATCTCCTGTTTTTCTGCATTTTATTATGTCTTATCTGGAATACAGTAAGAAATGAGACCTTTTTGGGGGTGCCTGGGTGGCTCAGTTGTTGAGCGTCTGCCTTCGGCTCAGGTCATGATCCCGGGGCCCTGGGATCGAGCCCCGTGTCGGCCTCCCTGCTCTGCGGGAAGCCTGCTTCTCCCTCTCCTACTCCCCCTGCTTGTGTTCCCTCTCTGGCTGTCTCTCTCTCTGTCAAATAAATAAAATCTTTAAAAAAGAAATGACACCTTTTTGGAAATAAATTTCCTCATTTTGGAAGTTGATCCTCATAGAATTAATGGATACTTAAAGAATGCTGGATCATTAAGTCAAAATACGTACAGACCAGGGAAAGGTTTTACATTAAACCATATAGTTATTTTGGCATTCTTTCTGTCATATTGCTATATATTTTTACAGGGGAATTTCTTAAGGATATGTGTTTAATTAATATTTGCTTTTTAGAAAACGATAATTACTTTCTAGAAACTTTTGATATCCTTGTGGTAATACATACTGAAAATAAGTTGTTCATCAGTGTGCTCTAAATGAGTGTGTTCCTTAATGATTCATCACCAATTCATGAGAATCTTCAGCAAAACTTCCAGAAGCATCACAATTCACTTCAGCGTTGGGAATATTTGAAGAAAGCCATCAGCTGTCAGGTATATTCCATTGAAATCTCTGTTATAAATGTAATAATGTAATTCTTAATTAAATTCTAATTGTTTTGCTTAGTAAGTTAAAGATCATTGAAAGCCATTTTTTTAACCTCTTAAAGAAATCCTCAAAAGTTCCTACTGATCCTCATGCTAGACTTGCATCTGCTTTTAGGATAATACTAAAAATGACAAATGTGGACCCTTGCTTGAATGGGAGATCATGCTCCAGTACTGTTTTCCACGGCTGGATATCAATGTTAGCAAAGGAATCAATCATTTACTGAAGAGCCCTTTTAGTGTTCATCCTAAAACAGGTACAATATATAGAAAGTAAAGAAAACTAGAAGAAAAATGAGTTATTTTTTATCTTAGTAAACATGTCACTGGGTGTGAATACGTATGATGTCTGAGATATTAAAGGTTGAAAGACTATCAGCTAATACCTAAGTTATTTTTTAATTGTCAATTATTAGCTACCAAATGAGTTTCCACTACATAAATAATTTTCCTCTGGGTTTCTGAGGTTTAGTGTTGGAACTATAGAGGAACTTAGAAATCACAGGACAACAGCTCTCCTCGTACAGATGAGAAAACAGTGGTCCAAGAGGTTAACGTGACTTGTTCACAGTCTTAAAACAAATTGTGTCAGAGCTAAGAACAGAATTCAGTTCTTAAAAGTTCTGGGACGCCTGGGTGGCTCAGTTGGTTAAGCGTCTGCCTTTGGCTCAGGTCATGATCCCAGGGTCCTGGGATCGAGTCCCACATTGGGCTCCTTGCTTAGTGGGGATCCTGCTTCTCCCTCTGTCTGCTGCTCCCCCTGCTTGTGCTTTCCCTCTCTCTCTCTGACAAATAAATAAATAAATAAAATCTAAAAAATGAAATGAACAAACAAAAAAAAACCCCTCAAAGTTCTGTGCTTTTCCCACTATGTCTCCTCCCTCAGTTCTTTTTCCATAGTTTTAGCTTTCCTCCTTCACATTTCTCTTAGATATGTTTTGATGGACTGAAACTGACTTTAAAATAAATATAACAGCTGCTATATTGACATAAACTTTGCTTCATCCAACCAGGAGACCTATACAGTTGTATATAGTTGTCCTTTTTAGCATTTATAATCTAACTCTGCCACTCGCTGTCGGATGTTAAGCTAATTACTCTCTGTGCCTTGGTTTTCTCATCTATAAATGGAGATAATATAGTACCTACCTCAGTGGGTTATTGTGAAAATCTAAAATGTAAAGTGCTGGGGCGCCTGGGTGGCCCAGATGGTTGGGCATCTGCCTTCGGCTTGAGTCGTGTTCTCCGGATCCTGGAATCGAGCCCCATGTCGAGCTCCCAGCTCAGCAGGGTGTCTTCTTCTCCCTCTCCTTCTGCCTCTCCCCCTGCTTGTGCTCTCTCTCAAATGAATAAATCCTTAAAAAATTAATAAAAAAATAATGATAATAAAATGTAAAGTGCTTAGAAAAGTGTCTGTCACACATTCAGTTCTCCTAAGTTGCCTAGTTTCCTTTAATAATCTGTAGTGATTCTCTAGTCCATATATTTGAATCGCCTCTTTCCGAACCTATCAACTATATGTTTTCAGCTTCTTTGGGTAATAAGCTTAATATTTCTTTTTTTTTTAATTTATTTAAATTCAATTAATTAACATATAGTGTATTAGTTTCAGAGGTAGAGTTCAGTGATTTATCAGTTCCATATAGCACCCAATGCTTATTATATATTTCTTAATATTTTTTTAAACCTGACTCTAAAGCTATAGTGGGTATGCCCTTATTCTAAAATTCAGGGTTTGGGTAAATAAATATATTCATAAGTATATGCATTTTGATTATATCCTTTTCCCCATTAAGTAGCTGCAGTCTTTTTACTCTTCAAACAGCAACTCCCAGTTCTCTTAATTATTCTACTTGTTATTTACCTGGCATTCTTTAGATTCATTATCTCATTTCTGAGATGTAATGAATGTTATGAGGTATCCCAGGTGTGGATATTGTGAAAGGGTAGTATAATGCTATCTATTTTATTTCCAAAATGCTTTCTAAAGATGCCCAACACGCCTGGGTGGCTCAGTCGTTAAGGGTCTGCCTTCGGCTCAGGTCATGATCCCAGGATCCTGGGATCAAGCCCCGCATCAGGCTCCCTGCTCAGCGGGAAACCTCCTTCTCCCTCTCCCTCTGCCTGCTGCTCCCCCATGCTTGTGCTCTCTCTCTCTGTCAAATAAATAAATAAAATCTTTTAAAAAGATGCCCAACATATAGGTGTCTGTTCTGATCTCAGCAAATAAACCAAGTTAATGAAATGAACTATATCTATGTTATTTCATTTTCAGGACTCACTAAATTTGATATCATTCTGTACTTACATATAAAAGGATATTAGGAAGAAGAAAATAGAAATAAAAGTAGAGATAAGAGCACTAGATAATAGCCCAACATTCTTTCATACCTATTTTTTTGGTTGTTTGTTTTTTTAACTTGTCTTCTTTTCAAGATTTTACTTATTTATTTGTCAGAGAGAATGAGAGTACAAGCAGGGGGAGCAGCAAGCAGAGGGAGGGGGAGAAGCAGACTCCCTGCTGAGCAGGGAGCCCGATGTGGGGCTCCATCCCAGGCCCCTGGGATCATGGGCTGAGCCGAAGGCAGATCCTTAGCCAACTGAGCCACCCAGGCACCCTTATTTTTTTGGATTTTTAAGAGAAATTAAAAGCACAGCTAATGTGGAAGTAATTTCTAGCTATTGTTTTTAACAGATAAGTCTAACCCTTTTTCTTTTTTTTTTTTTAAAGATTTTATTTATTTATTTGACAGAGAGACACAGCGAGCAAGGGAACACAAGCAGGGGGAGTGGGAGAGGAAGAAGCAGGCTTCCCGCCAAGCAGGGAGCCCGATGTGGGGCTCGATCCCAGGACCCTGGGACCATGACCTGAGCCGAAGGCAGATGCTTAACGACTGAGCCACCCAGGCACCCCAGTCTAACCCTTTTTTCTAAGGCTTAGATTAAAATTTAGCCAAAATAACACATAGGATTATATTTTACAATCATCAGTTTATAACTTTTGGTTCTTACAGGTCGTATTTCTGTGCCTATTGATTTACAGAAAGTGGACCAGTTTGATCCATTTACTGTTCCAACCATAAGGTATGTTCCAGATCATTGATCATTCCGTTTTTGTTTGTGATTATTACTCGGAATTTGAAGTAGATTGAATTAGATCCCTTTCAGAGATGCAGCTACTCTGAGGCTATATGATGATGCCGTAGTAGAGCAACATTTCCTAGTGAGTTCTACATAACACAGGCTGCTGTTCTCTAATAAAAAGATTGTAAGTTCAAGTAAGTTTGGGAAATAACGACTTAAACAGACAAAATGTTCTTTACTGCAAAATTTCCCAGTTTTTATTATGCTGTTATGCATGGAAAACTCCAAGAAGAGATTGTGATTTTTAGAATATCCCAAATATAGGTGGTCACACAATTTTTTCACAGAAAATCTTGTGGGATTCTTGTGCTATCATACACTGAGTAATATTGACCAAGAACCAACTTTACAATTCTTATTCTAGGGTGCTGTGTGGCTCAATTGGTTAAGCGTACAACTCTTAATCTCAGCTCAGGTCTTGATCACTGGGTCATGAGTTTAGGCCCTGAGTTGGGCTCCACACTGGGCATGGAGCTTACTTAAAAAAAAAAAATTAAAATTCTCTTATTCTGGGGCACCTAGCTGGCTTAGTTGGTAGGATATATGATTCTTGATCTTGGGGTCATGAGTTCGAGCCTCACATTGAGTATGGAGTGAAAAAGTAAAAAAAAAAAAAAAATTCTCTTATTCTATTATTTGTAGCTCCATCTGCCATGAATTGGATGCCATTTCCATTAATGATGAGGGAAAGGAGGGAAACGAAGCCGAATCTGATATCAAACATAGAACCAGAGGTATGTTAATATATTGAAGTCTCACTTTAACATAATTTTCTTATAAAGACATCCTTCTGTCAGTCTGGTAATTAATTCTCCTTGGATTCAGCCCAGAATGGATACAATGTTTATCCTGAAACCAGCTCAGTTACAAATAATATCATAGCAATGTTTCTGTCCTTTCTTCATCAATTGCCCAAATGGTGTTGTTGAATCCAATTTGAGTCAACAGATAATTACTAAGCAACATTTAAATGCCAGGATCTATACTATAAGATTAAATAGTCAATTTGTGTTGATAGTTGACTCTCACAATCTTAGGTTCAACAGTAACTTATTTAACAACTACTATGTATGCAGTACTTTTGTTCTTTGTTCTTGATGTATCCAGATGAGTGTTAGGGTAAATATATATCTAAACTGTGGTTGAATTGTATATTCAAGAATTTGAAGGAGCTGGGGAATTTATAAATCTTCCTGCTAATAGAAGCCAAATCTTCCAAAAAAAAAAAAAGAAGCAGCCAAATCTTCATAGGCCAATACCCAAGAGACACTCTATAGCTACAGAGCCAATAGAACTTCCTATGATGATAGAAATGTAATGCACTGCCCAGTGTGGTACTCATCAGCCACGTGTGGCACATTCCACTTGAATTGTGAGAAACCTGATTTTCAATTTCATTTAATTTTAAATAGCCACATGTGGCTAGTGACTGTTGTAACACAGTGCAGATCTGTGATCTCTGATTGACTTTTCTTGGTCAAATGTTGCTACCTTCTTTCAAAACCCAAGCTCAGATATCACTACATAAAACAAAAACAAAACAAACAAACAAATATCACTTCATCTATTCCAGCTCTAACATAATACCTAAACATAGTACATTCCACTTTTAATGTTTGTAGAATGATTACAAGCATTCTGTCTAAAGTATTTGAGGGGCACCTGGGTCGCTCAGTCAGTTGGGCATCTGATTCTTGGTCTTGGCTCGGGTCATGATCTCAGGGTCCTGGGATCGAGCCCCACGTCTGGCTCTGTGCTCATCGTGGAGTCTGCTTGTCTCTCTCCCTCTGCCCCTCCCCCGTCTCTCAAATAAATGAGTAAATGAAATCTTTTAAAAAAATAAAGTATTTGAAAAACATCTCCAACATGAAAAATCAGAATAAACTGGAAAAAGGAACTCAGAGAAAACAGATAATGCAAGGAACAAAGAAAACCCCTTTTTTTTTTAAGTAATCCCTATGCCCAACATGGGGCTCAAACTCACAACCCAGAGATCAAGAGTCACATGTTCTACTAATTGGGCGAGCCAGGCACCCTGAAAACCTTTTTTTAAAAAAGTAATATCCTCAGAGAATAAGAGAAGATAGTGCATCCATGAAGCAAGATCAGAATGCTATGAAAAGAAACATTCAGAGAACAAGAAAGAGGTCTTAGAAATCAGAAACATAATCATTAGAAAACAAAATTCAGGGGAAGGGTTAGAAAAGGAAAGTTAAGATTTTCCAGAAAGTACTACAAAAAAAGATAAATTTGTTGTTGTTATTTTAAGGAGGAAAAAGATAAAATTAGAAGAATGGTTCAGGGGAGCCTCGGTGACTCAGTCGGTTAAGCGTCTGCCTTCAGCTCAGGTCATGATCCCAGGGTCCTGGGATCAAGTCCTGCATCGGCTCTTTGCTCAGCAGGGAGCCTGCTTCTCCCTCTGCCTGCCACTCCCCCTACTTGTGCTCTCTTTCTATTTCTCTCTGACAAATAAATAAAATCTTAAAAAAAAAAAAAAAAAGAATGGTTCAGGAGGTCTAAAAAGTGACTATGGGAGTTTTAGAAAAACAACAAACAGGGAGGGAAAAAAAATCCAAATTATATAGGAAACCATTGCAGAAATGAGCCCTTTATTGAAAAGGGTCAGCATTGGGGCACCTGGGTGGCTCAGTCGTTAAGCGGCTGCCTTCAGCTCAGGTCATGATCCCAGGGTCCTGGGATCAAGCCCCGCATCAGGCACCCTGCTTGGGGGGAAGCCTGCTTCTCCCTCTCCCACTCCCCCTGCTTGTGTTCCCTCTCTCGCTGTGTCTCTCTCTCTGTCAAATAAATAAATAAAATCTTAAAAAAAAAGAAAGAAAGAAAAGGGTCAGCATAATAAGAAAACAGACTGGCACCAAGGCACATCATTTTGAAATTTCAAAACACTGAGAATTAAGAAAAGATCTTAGCTTTCTGACCCCTGCCTACTTCTCCTCCCCCCAAAAGCCACAGACCTAGGAAGAATGGCCTTGGATTTTTAATCATGGGAAGTGTTCATCTGTTAGAAGTAGGTGCTAGAAAAGAAAAAGTGGTTGCCATTCAAGAGGATGGAGAGGTCAGAATTAGAGCAGGAAGCTGCTATTTTTTCCAACCTGTTAGTACTATTTTATTTTTTTAACAACATGCATAATTACTTCAACACAATTTTTTTAACAATATTGTCTCTTGATGGACATCTTTTTCTTTTGTTCAGAGATTTTATTTTTTAAAGATTTTATTTATTTATTTGACAGAGAGAGCACAAGCTGGGGGAGTGGGAGAGGGAGAAGCAGGCTCCCTGCTAAGCAGGGAGCCTGACACAGGGCTGGATCCCAGGACCCTAGGATCATGACCTGAGCCCAAGGCAGTCGCTTAACCAACTGAGCCACTCAGGTGCCCCTGTTCAAAGATTTTAAAGAGAAATTTTCTGGGATGACTGGGTGGCTCAGTTGGTTAAGCATCTGCCTTCAGCTGAGGTCATGATCCCAGGGTCCTGGGATCGAGTCCCACATCGGGCTCCTTGCTCAGCGGGAAGCCTGCTTCTCCCTCTGCCTGCTGCTCGCTCTCTCTTGCTCTTGCTCACTGTCTGACAAATAAATAAATAAAATCTTTTAAAAAAATAAAATTTAAAAATAGAGAAATTTTATAATATAACTATTCAAAAATAAACTAAACTGCCTATCATTTCAAGTATTCATAAATAGCCTAATAGCCATCAGTCAGGGGTGCTTTAGAGATGGTGGGGGATTGGAATAAGTGATGTGTAAGTTCCTTACTATCGCTTTAGCTTCTTGATTTTAAGCCTTTGTCCTTTTTCACACTAGTACCATTTATTCCTGCCCTTCTTCACAAATCCTGGAATGTTCTCTCCTGTCTAATTGTATCTTTTTTCTTTTTCTTTTTTAAAGATTTTATTTATTTACTTATTTGAGAGAGTGTGAGCACGAGCAGGGGGAGTGTGGGCAGAGGGAGAGGCAGAGAATCTGAAGCAGACTCCGCACAGAGTGTGGAGCCCGACGCGGGGCTCGATCTCATGACCCTGAGATCATGACCTGAGTGGAAACCAAGAGTTGGATGCTTAACCAACTGAGCCACCCAGGCTCCCCTAATTATATCTTTTTTCTAAGACTGACTTCACAGCCACCTCGGTCAACATTGACTGGTGGATTCTTTGGCCTTATAATTATCCATATGCCTCTTTGGTCTTTTAATTATATATTGTTTTCTATTACTGCATTTAGGACTTGTTTTTCCAGTTCATTTAACAACTTCTTAAAACCAAAGAGTTTGGCTTATACTTTTTTAGAATTTAGCAGAGTACTTAATATATAATAGGTAGTTAGTAAATATTTAAGTAATTATTGAATGCCTATTACATATTCCACAATGGTGAAGTAAACATATAGACCTTTATGCAAGGAGCTTAGAATCTTGAATTAAAGGTTCAAAGTATTATGTGGCTGATCCCAAACTAAACTATTTCCTTGGTATACATTTTATATTATTGTAAGAAAATTCATATATAAAAGTTTAGGGCAAAATATAATGTACTTTCATAATTGCCACAGTTCAGATATTCATCCTTAATATCCTCATCAAGATTCCTTTTCTAGTCCCAAGATCATCAGATAATGTTTATTAAAAAAAATTTTTTAAAGGTTTTATGTATTTATTGAGAGAGAGAGCATAAGCAGGGGAAGTGGCAGAGGGAGAGGGAGAAGCAGGCTCCCCGCTGAGCAGGGAGCCTGATGCGGGGCTCCATCCCAGGACCTCAGGATCGTGACCTGAGCCGAAGGCAGACACTTAACCGACTTAGATACCCAGGCACCCCTTAAAAAATTTTTTAAGTATAATTTCTTTTTTTATTCTTTTGAACGAACTATTACGAGGACTATTCCATGCAGATATAGCACACTACCGAAATCCAAATCTCATCTTGTTCTCAGGTTTTCTCCCCTATTGGGTATTATAGATTGTATAATTAAATAGATGATTAAGATTCTGTATTTAAAATTTTGTTGTGTACATTTTAAAATTTTTATATAAGGCAAAGAATACCTATACTTAAGGCGCTATGACTATAAACTTCTGATTGTCTCCAGGTAGAATGGCCCTAACTTCACATTTTTAATGTTTGCTGTGTTGGTAAAACTATTTGTTACTGAAGCCACAATTTCTAAAGAAAAGAATATTGTATGGGACTTAACAAAGAGCAATAGATTTTGTTGGTCTAATACTAGAAAGGCTGACTACTAAAGTAGATATGTACATGTGGTTTGGATATTTTCAAGCAGCACTGCCTTAATACACTAGCCACATATGGCTATTAAGCACTTGAAATGTGGCTAGTATAAACAAGGAACTGATTTTTTTTTTATTTAATTTTAATTAATTTAAATTTTAAAACTGATACGGGTGCCTGGCTGGCTCAGTCGGTGGAACATGCAACTCTTGACCTCAGGGTTGTGAGTTCAAGTCCCATGTTGGGTATAGAGATTACTTAAAAATAAAATCTTAAGGGGTGTCTCTCTAAAATAAATAAATAAATCTCTTTTAAAATATTAAAAAAATTTTTTTAAATAGGGGCACCTGGGTGACCCAGTCATTAAGCGTCTGCCTTCGGCTCAGGTCATGATCCCAGGGTCCTGGGATCAAGCCCCGCATCAGGCTCCCTGCTCAGCGGGAAGCCTGCTTCTCCCTCTCCCACTCCCCCTGCTTGTGTTCCCTTTTGCTGTGTCTCTCTCTGTCAAATAAATAAATAAAATCTTTAAAGAAAAAAAAAGATTGGTTTTTTAAAAAAATTTTTTTTAATTTTAAAACTGATATTTGATTCAATTATTGGAGAACTTTAAATATGTTTGGGAAATTTGGGTATATGAGCCTACCTTTACACTGTCTATTTTATAATTCAAATCTAAATATAGATCAAGTATTTTTCATGATAATGTATCATCTAAATCACCATCAGGACACTAGTACTGGCTATCTCCAAAAGGTGCAAATACTAGGAGCCATCCTTGAGAGTTGGAAATATATTTTAAGTACAAAATGTTAGATTTTAAAGACTTAGTATGAAAGAGAATGTAAAATATTTCAATTTTTATTATGTGTTAATGATAATATTTTAGATGTACTGGATTAAATACTAAAATTAATTTTACCTTTTTAATGTGGCTATTATTTATTTATTTTAAGATTTTATTTATTTATTTGACGGAGAGAAAGAGAGAGAGCACAAGCAGGGGGAGCGGCAGGCAGAGGCAGAGGGAGAAGCAGGCTTCCTGCTGAACAGGAAACCCGATGTGGGGCTCAATCCCAGGACGCTGGGATCACGACCTGAGTGGAAGGCAGATGTTTAACCGACTGAGCCACGCAGGTGCCCTGCTACTAGAGTATTTAAACCACACATTTCTCATTATATTGGACAGCACTGTTCTAGATAATTCTTTTTCTTGTTGGTGTTATTCTAGAGAATTCTTTAAAGAAACTTAAAATTATACTGTCATGTTATTTTTGCTTCCAAAATGCTAATTCTAATGCATGGCCTTCATAATTTAGATTATAAGAAGACCAGTCTAGCTCCTTATGTAAAAGTTTTTGAACAGTTTCTTGAAAACCTGGATAAATCCCGAAAAGGAGAACTTCTCAAGAAGAGTGGTAAGACTCTATACCTTTCCCTTTTAGCTATTTAGATCTTAGTGTGGGAAGTTTAAAGCATCTAGCAAGTAAGTAATTTTAGAACTCTAGCCTTTGCCCTACTAAAACAACTATTGATTTAGCTTACTATCCTTAGTATTTTAAAAATTGAGCTCCCTTAATTCAATTCAACAGATACTCATTAAACACCTTCTGTGTATCAGGTACCGTGAGGAAACAAAGATTAATTATACAAAGATGAATTCGACACCATGCCCCCCTGCCCTTAGGAAGTACTAACTGATACAAAACAAAGAAGTATAAAATGCTAAGAAAGAGAGTTCATCTGATTGAGAGAACCTAAGAAGATTTCTTATGAAAAGAGTGGTATTTGAACTCTTTACAGTGAGCTCTATACAGATTCTAATTCCCAGTGCCAATATACCATATCTTGAGGTATGCGTAGGATTTCCACAAGCAGAGATTTGATAGGGTACAGGAATGGAAAAAGGGGACAGATTGTTCATTCTTGAAGGAACGGCAAAGGCATTAGACAGGAAAGCATCAGGTCACTCTGGAGGTCATCAAGTAATACAGTTTATCTGGAAAAAGATGTGTCAGGAAGTGATGGGATAGAAATCTGAAGAAGCAGACTGAAGCCAGAGTATAAATGGCCTTGAATTCTAGTCTTGAGAGTTGGGCTTAATTCAGTAGGGACAGGGAATCTATTAAAGGTTTTTGAGGAAGAGAGTACCATGATTTATAGTTTTATCTAGCAAAATAAAACTAGCAACAATGTATCTGGGGAGAGGTAGGAGATAAAATAGAGCCCAAGAGGCCAGTTGGGCTATTACCATTAGGACATTAGTACTGGATATCTCCAAAAGGTGCAAATACTAGAACCATCCTTGAGAGTTCATAATGATTTGGAAGTGGAGAGATGAAAGAGGAAAATTAAAAGTGTCACAGAAGCCAAGGGAAAGGAAACTTTCAAGGAGATTATCAAGTGTCAAATGCAGTAGAGAACTGATAAAATCCTGTTGGATATTGGAACTAAAGGGAGATACTAAGAGGACAACAGTGTCAAAGGAAAAGTTCTTTGAATAGGAGAGACCCGAACCTATGTGTAAACCAAAATGAAAGAAATCAGCAGTTAATATTATTCAGGAGATTGATGGATACCATAGAAAACTGTAGTAGTGTTACAGAAATACAAACTTCCTTTCCACTTTATTTTTTAATAATATGCATGATGGTTAAAGAGTAGTGCCCAGGATAATGCTGAACTCATAGTAGACATTCAGATATGTGCTTATTGAATGAACAATGATGACTCTGAACTTGGAAAGCCTCAATGAACCTGCCATTCCAACTGGCTATATTAAGTCCTTTGTATTCTTGTTCTGTAGTAGCTCAGCCTATAATGCGGGCTTCAGCAAATGTGAAAGCAAATCTTTATGCATGATGTGAATTTAATAGAAGCATTAAGCAAATCAGAATGTGAAAATAAATGGGATTTGTCTTGTTTTCCTTTACTATCCCTTTGATAAGAATCTGTTCTATTCCAGATTTACAGAAAGACTTTTGAAGATAACAACTCTCCTCAAACCAATGTAGATGTCTTCTAGCTTCAAGAATCAAATACTTCAGGTGCCTGGGTGGCTCAATCGGTTGGGTGTCTGCCTTCCACTTGGGTCATGATCCCAGGGTCCTGAGATCAAGTCCCATAGCAGGCTCCCTGCTCAGCAGGGAGTCGGCTTCTCCCTCTCCCTCTGCCCCTCCCCCCTGCTCATGCTCTCTCTCTCTCTCAATAAATAAATAAATAAAAATTCTTTAAAAAAATCAAATACCGGGCGCCTGGGTGGCTCAGTTGGTTAAGCGACTGCCTTCGGCTCAGGTCATGATCCTGGAGTCCCGGGATCGAGTCCCACATCGGGCTCCCTGCTCGGCAGGGAGTCTGCTTCTCCCTCTGACCCTCCTCCCTCTCATGCTCTCTGTCTCTCATTCTCTCTGTCTCAAATAAATAAATAACATCTTAAAAAAGAAAAAATCAAATACCTCAAGAGCCATTTAATAAATATTATAGAACTATAATGTGTCTTAATGCTCAAAGCAAAATTTCCTTTTCTTGAAAAATTATGTTGAAAAGATTCCTGAGGCCACCAAAAGATAGTGTCCAGGTTTCTGGAAGGAGCAATAATGGGAGGAACAAGTGAATTGTAGATACATATTGTAAAAGTTAATATTATACTAAGATTTTTGATATACCTTTTACCAGTTGCCATATGTATTTTTATATACTTCTACCAGTTGCCATATGTAGAGGCAAGTGAGCAGTAATATGCCCAAGACTTTCATCTCAGCTCACTAGATATAGCCTCCTTATTTCTAGACTGAATATTGTAAGTGCATGAGAGCTTTATCCTTAAGTCTTAGACAGTTATACCTGGAATATGTATTCTGTCACTTCTAATTTTGCTTACTGATATTTTTATTGGTCAGGCCACACCCCACTGCCTATCTCTTAAAAATCATTTTAAACTGGGCATCTAAACATACCAAAGCTTCAGTTCAAAAGATATGAGTTACTAGATTACAATAGGGATTGGTAAAGTGTTTTTTGCAACTGTTGCATTTGTAGCTCCTGGCTTCTTTCCTCGGAAAAAAATTGGATTAGTCTGCACCATAAAGAAACAACTTAGAATAACAAATTTCACCAACATAAAATCTATTTTAGTTGTCAAAACACTTCCCTTTCTACATATCCAGATACTTAATTTTAAAGGTTTTGTTTCTTCCATAGTTGTTTGTTTTGTTTTGTTTTTTCTGAAAGTGTCAGATTTCTTTTGCCTAGTTTTACCACCAGTCTAAACAAAATAGTCATTCTGGATTACAGTCCATCTTCAGAGAAACACTGAGAAGTCAAGCTATCAGGCTGGTGCTTTCTATGATTTATGAAAATTTTCCTTCCTTTGCATTTCCTTTAACATTGCTTTCTCTATAGCCACAGAGTTTGTTTTTTTAATCTTTTGGTTTATATATATATAAAACACTTCACAATGCAGTCAACACACTGCAATGCCTTGCATTTCCTTCTCTTTTCTAATTTTTTAAGAAAAAACATTAAAGACCATTGTGCAAAACTCCTCATTTGAGCTTCTATTTACTGTGTATTGTTCAGTTTTTAGGTCAGGAAAACAGTGGGCCAGTTAAAATTCCTGAATACAAAATTACTAAAGACTCAGTCCATCTTAAGAACTCAGAACGAGAGTATAAAGACTGGTATTATGCTTTCAACAAGAGATGTTTCAAGATTCCAATAATGTCTACCATTAAAGTATCTTAATGCTTTATTATTAAAGCTCTTGGATAAAGCTGAACATATTGTACTCATGTAAAAGAAATGTTTTTGCACTGTGTGCTAACTGGAGTTTAAATAAAAATTTAAAGAATTAAAAAAATATTTAAGGGGCGCCTGGGTGCTCAGTCATTAAGCGTCTGCCTTCGGCTCAGGTCATGATCCCAGCATCCTGGGATCGAGCCCCACATCGGGCTCCCTGCTCTGTGGGAAGCCTGCTTCTCCCTCTCCCACTCCCCCTGCTTGTGTTCCCTCTCTCACTGTGTCTCTCTCTGTCAAATAAATAAATAAAACCTTTAAAAAAAAAAAAATTTAAGGTTTTTTTTTTTTTCAAAATAAATGTTTGGTTCTTGAAGATAGCAAAAACATGCTAAAAAACTATTGACTTCCCTATTCTCTGATTTTACCAAGTCATCCATATATGAGAATTGTAGAAACAAAGGGCACAGAACTGACTTCCATCTCTAAATTTGCCCAATTTATAAAGAAATCCAAAGAAAGAAAATACATCCTTCCTTAGTCATTAACAACAAAGAGAAGAGTCAGTGGCTTGATGGAAAAGAAAGTGAAATGGTCAAAATAGCTTTACTTGTCTAAGAAGATGATTGGCTATTGCTGGCCCTTTCTTCTGAAGGTAAATGGACTGTGCTGACAAATCTTCCAGATCACATATTTACTTAGAAAAAATAGTAAGCACTTTTTAAGTAATGTACATATAGTACCTAATTTTCCTAACAATCCTATGAAGTAGCTACTATATCTCCAGTTTTTAGATGAGGAAACTGAGGCACAAACAGGTTAATTAAATTGCCCAAGGTCACTATGAGGTGACTAAGCTGTAATTCAGACGGAGTACAGCTACAGAGTCCATATTCTTCATATATATATATATATATATATATATATATATATATATATATATACACACACACATATATTTAAGTTTATTTATTTCAGTAATCTCTATACCCAGCATGGGGCTTGAACTCATGAACCTGAGATCAAGAGGTGTATGGTCTTCCAACTGAGCCAGCCAGGCGCCGCTACAGAGTTCATTCCACAATATTGCCACCCCTATCTGAAAAAATTTTCAGAATTTCTCATTGCTGGTAAACTCCACTATTTCATTGAATCCTAATTTATTAATCCTCACTTCACAAGTAGTTTTCAGAGCATAACGTCACTGCTTCCCTTAAAAGGCAGCCACAATTGTCGTAAATCCTTTAGCTCAAATAGTGCTAGCTGACTTAGGTAATGTATTTGTTGAGTCCTTTTATAGGGCTGAGAGAGGGCATGGGGATCAGGACCCATGGCTTTTCATTAACAAAACAGTGAATTTACATTCTACTTTCAGGAATCTTAACTGTGTAAAGCATGAGTTCTTAACGTGGGGGCTGGGACTACTAGAATGTATGAGTTTCAGCATATCTATTTGCCCAAAACAGCAGGCAAAAAGAATTGTATATGTGCCTATGTTCTTTTTTCTGAGGAGTGTAATCTAATAGTTTCAACATGTCAAAAATGTGTATTCCAAAAATAAAATAATTGAGAGTTAACCTAAGCCACTGCTACCTTACAATGATGTGACTACAATCTGTGGCGTTCGATATTATTTCGTTTCTATTTCCCTGCATTAGTTGAAAAGGGGAAATCTAAAAGTCACCCTAATACCGCTGTGGCTACTTTACTGACCAAGAGGGCAGAGGTTGCTTCTCTCATTACAATTTCCCTTCGGGTATCAAAAATGCCTTGGCTTAGGGGCCTGGGTGGCTCAGTCGTTAAGCGTCTGCCTTCGGCTCAGGTCACGATCTCAGGCTCCTGGGATCGAGCCCCGCATCGGGCTCCCCGCTCAGCTGGAAGCCGGCCTCTCCCACTCCCCCTGCTTGTGTTCCTTCTCTCGCTTTGTCTCTCTCTGTCAAATAAATAAAATCTTTAAAAAAAGAAATGCCTCGACTTAGGGGACGGGAAAGGGTCGGCTATCTAGGGAGCGAGCTGAGGTTCCTGCCAGGCCAGCGCGTCCTGTTCTGAATTCTTACCCTTATTTAGACCTCGTCACCAACCCCATCTGGGAACAGTAGGACGGGTCACTTGTTAAAGGAAGTGACTGCCGGCAGCTCCTGACCCGGAATCGGATCCTGGTCCCGCCCCCTCCGCCAGGCTTCTTTCTGCAACAGGCGTGGGTCACGCTCTCGCTCGCTCTCCTTCTGCCGCCATCTTGGTTCCGCGTTCCCCTCACAGTAAGTCTTGTCTTCGCCGCCACTCTCTATCCGCAGCCATCCGCCTTTCTTGCGGACTAAGCCGCCCCGGAGACTGAGAGCTAAGGGAAGTTGGAGGCTTTATGGGGCTACCGGGTTCCCACTCGGCCCTGAGAAGGGTGGCCTTGGGGCCTCCGGACAAAATGGGGTCTGCGGTGGATGTCCTGGCAAAAGCGGGGCAGAAGGGCCGCGTGCGGGGCCTGGAGGCCAGGGCTGGGGAGATAGAGCCGTTGCGGCGCGGGGGGCGGAAGCGGAGTGCGTCTACTGTTGGGAACGGCTTCACGAGAACCCGAAGGAGGTTAAGGGGGTCACAGCCTTGGAACAGCCCCCTCACACCCACACACACACACGCTGTTCTTAATTGTGACAAGCGAGCGTTGGGACTTAAGGCACCGTCTCCCCTCTCCTGGTTCCCGAAAGTCGGCAAACGGGAGACCTGGTGGTCCCGGCCCAGGCGGCGTCTGTGTAGGAGAGGAGGTGGTGGGGAGGTGGTGCAAGGTAGCGTCCGAAGTCGCCCGTGGTCGGGAGCCAGACCGGAATCCTCTCCCCCGGGTTGAGAACGCAGTGGTGATTGTTGCCTTTGTGGGATTTGGAGTGTAGAGTAAAAGGAACCCCTGGGCACTAGAAGTCTGTTCCTCTGCGGAGTAAAGAGGTAGAAGGTGATTCGCTTGATCAGAGATCTGAGGGTCACGTCTTATTTCTTACCTATTCCCAGCTGCTTTGGGGAGGATTGTCCCGAGACACCCTCACGATTTTTTTTTTTTTTCTTACCAGCAGAGTTTTTAAGAATATTTGACTCTGGGTTGGGCAGCAGAACGGATCCCAGTCAATTCAGGCCTCCTTTTTATTCCCTTCAGAAATGCCTGGTGAAGCCACAGAAACCGTCCCTGCTACAGAGCAGGAGTTGCCACAGCCCCAGGCTGAGACAGGTAGGTTCCCCTAGCGCCCTTACTGTTCATTAAGATTGTAAGACTGACCCTAAGACCATTTGGTGGGTTAAAATGGCAAAGGGGATACACTCCGGTTTTTCAGAGTTAACTCATTATAAAGATGGCTGTAGCTTTACCAGGGAGGAGAATCCATGATATTAACTGCCGTCCTGGAGGGACTTCATTGGAGGATGGAATATAAACAGTCTATTTAAGATCCAGGAGCATAAAAAGCTCCCGGCCTGCTTTGTAGGCTATGGCAACTGCCTCACAGGGCATTCTGTGGAGCCCTCACCTCACACACAAAAACTGAGCAGGGAAGGGGCTTGGTGATTCTTACCTATTGGAACTGGATGACACACTTGCAGGCCAAGGAGACCTGAGCTTTTGTGAAGTTCCAGCCAGCAAGTTGCATCAAGGTTTTAGATGGCAGAGCTTGGCATTGTGCCTTCATCACATGTCTGGATGAGATGTGTGCTGGTGGTAAATGTGTCCTGCTGGGCCCCAGGGCCCTCCTAGGTTGGTTAACTTATTTTATGGGTTGGTGCTAAGATGTTTCTAGTGTGCTGGAATAGTGCCTGCATCAACAGCTTGCCTGGAACCCAAGATTGAAATAAAGCTTTCCTTTGACTGTTCTTCAGCTTTGAAATTGATGGATATAAACATAGTGTAAAGGCAAGTTTTGAATTCTGGTTAAAATATCTCTAGAAAACTTGAGAGGGGGTAGTGAAAAAAAATATTTAATGATGTGCTTCTTGCTGCATCAGTCGTGCTGAAATAAATGAAGGGAATCTTCAGACTAACTTCCATCATCACTTTTTCTTATTATAAATTATTTTTTTTAACTCCACCTGTCACTTAAGGGCAATTCTTTTCCCCTTCTGGAATTAAAATAGAGTTGTTTATAGTTGAAAGCATTGAGGTTCTCTCTCCCCACCTGTCTGATTTTAACAGCTGAAGGGATTAATACAGCTGCTAGAAAAGAAAAAGGAGGGGGCCTCTAAGCTAGTGAACAAGCTATATGAAATCCTTGAAGTACAAGGGACTTAATGGAAGCAAAAATAAAGGACTGGTCTCTAAAGATCCAGTGCTAACCAAAACCTTATTGAACAATTTGATTTTACAAATGTGGAGACTGAAATAAAGATGAATTTAGAATAATCTGGTTTCGAGCCTCATGCCATTTGCTTCTGAAGTCATCCTGGAGTGCTGTTAAGCTTATTTCTGAATAGTTTAAGCTTGCACAATAGGTTTAGTAATACTAAGGGAGTGCCAGTAGTAAAACTCTGAATTTTTTCTATAACTGTACCTAAGTAATTATTATAACGAATGCAGAAACTAGCCCAAGGAATTGGTTGTGGTGTCTAAAGCAAGTAAATTGGGCCTTATCCCATCTTGAAGTCCAGTCAGAGGAAAACATTCTAAATTTCAAATTCTGATTCATATGTTTGGAGTCATTTGCACTGTAGTTGTAAGACTTTGACCTACCAACTCTCCAGGAAAAACTGGTTGAGCCACCTGTCCTTTCTGTAGTAGGATACTGTAAAAATTTTAGAATTACTGGTTGAATAAATTGTGAATTTGTATCATTCAGAAAATCTTTTACTGAGCTTTACTCTAGTGCTGAACATTGGTCTATTTTGGCAGAATGACATACTTATCCAGATTAAGGGGTGGAGAGCCAGTGTATTCTCCACTCCAGTTCCCTACTTCCAAAATAGAACCACAGTCTGGTTTAACAAGTTGGGCTACAGTTTCATAATACAACCCCTACCCTGTGACTAAGCTCTCGCCCTGGCAGTCTAATTCATCTTAAATTGATGTCTGAAGAGCTAACAATACCTAGGAAGGTGTGTAGACATTATGAAGTACAACCCATTTGTGGTTGGTTTTTTGCTTGTTTGTTTTGGGTGAGTAGGTAAACTGAGGCATAGGGAGGCAAAGTGACTTAGTATTTAATACTTCACATAAAATTGTATGTCGACACCACCTTCCTAAAACTTTATTCTAAGAGTCAGATTTTTCTTGACCTAGTGAAAGCCTGGGCATATAAAGACTTGGTTTGTTTTGGTGGGGGGGGGGAGTTCTTTTTTTCATTCAGTTCTGACTCCCCATAATTATCACCACTCACTGCCTTCCTTGTTCCAGTTTTCAGTATCTGTTTCAGTTAGTTCATGATCCTTGACAGTAGAACAGCTATTCTATTGGTATTCTATGGCCTGTAAGAAAGCCTTTGGGTTCATTCAAGGAGGGAAGGGAGGGCACATCAAAGCATGCTGTTCCCAACCCACTCCTAGGCCTGTGCTCCCCATTTAGAGACTAATAGGCTGCTTAGACTGTTATCTCCACTTTAAAATAGTTTGCTTTTTGTGGGGGGTAGAACATGGGAAATGTGGGAGATGGGGAGAGGGATGTATTCTTACTCGACCACTGAAGTATGTTTGGGGAAGGTTGCTGTTGCCTGTCACCTTTGTCTAATCCTGTGTGGTGACTTTCATTCTCGGATTAAAAATTCCTTGTTTCCTGTGAGGCATGTTGTACCAAGTTGGGCTTCATAACTCACCTTTGTTTTTTTCCTTCCCTTTCCTTCTTTATCCCCTTTTTTGCTTTCCTCCTCCAGCTGTGCTTCCTGTGTCTTCAGCCTTGAGTGTCACTGCTGCCTTAGGGCAGCCTGAATCTACCCTTCCCCCTCCTTGCTCCCTGGCCCCCCAACAATGCCCTCTGGCAACCCCTAACCAGCCTTCCCCATTCCTTTCTCCCTCTAGTGTTGTCTCAACCCCTTTTGAAGCTCCTTTTCCCCAGTCATCCTCTGGAACAGCCCTGCCTTTGGGAGTTTCCCCTTCCCCCAGTGATACCCCAACTTTCCTACCAAACCTGATAGGGCCTCCCATCTCCCCAGCTGCCTTAGCTCTGGCCTCTCCCATGATAACTCCAACTGTGAAAGGTGCCCATTCCTCTTCAGCTCCCTTGGCTCTAGTGGCTTTGGCTCCCCACTCAGTTCAGAAGAGCTCTGCTTATCCACTTAACCCTCTTAGTTCACCTCCTTTGATTGCTATGACTGAGTCAGGGTCAGTGACATCTCTGTCTGCTCCCATTGTTTCCTCAGAACCAAAGACCTCTCCTATCCAAGCTCCTGTGCAAGTAGGCCCTAACTCAAAAGGCATCCCCATCCCTCCAGGTATAGTCAGTGCTGTTCCTTCCCATCTTGGAACTCCCTTGGCCTCTGTTCAGTGTGGAGTAGCCTCATGTCCTCAAATGCCACCCATCACTCCCCCTCAGTTCAAAGACATCCCTGTTTGCTCACAAAACCCTGAAGGTCTCAGCCTAAAGGGACCCCTTAGTTCACCTGCTGCGTTATCTCTTTCCACCCAGTCTGTATCTATGGCTCCCAGCGTCCCTCCAGTTTTCCTCACTTCTCTAGGCTCTCATCTTGCACCTTTACATCAGAGTTCTCTTGGTTCTCCTATTCGGCCCTTAGGTCAGACAGGCCCTAATGTTCTGTCAAATCCTAAAGTAGATGCCGTTTCTGCAGATCATTTTCCCGTAGGGGCCTCTTACCCCTCTCAGATTCCTCCCCTTCCTTCCAGAAATGAGGTGGCTCCTGCTGCTGTGGCTGCTTTTCCAGTGGGGGCTCCAGCTACCCCTCTGGCTCTTTCTGTTGAGAAAGACCCCTCTGCCATCACTGGCGTAGCTTCCTTCAGCCCTTCTGGCTCATCAAATGTAGCTACCTCTTCTCCATTATCTCCCACAGCCTCTCTCATTCCGAAAGGCTCTCCTAATGCCACTCATCATCAGCCTTTGGTGGCCCAAATTCCTTCTCCTCCAGGGAGTCCAAGCTTGAAAGAAGCTCCTGTTTGTTCTGTTGGAACCATCCCATTTGTTATGACTAACCCCTCTACAGTTTCTGCGGCACCTACTACCTTTGAGGTAGCTACTTGTAGGTCACCTCCAGTTTCTTCAGGCCCCGTAAGTAGTAAGGACTCAGCTTCCCATACTGCCTTGGTTATGGCTCCTGTGGCTCCCAGAGTGCTTTCTACTCCGCAAGTAACCCCTCTGGGAATACCAGTCCCTCCTCCTCTGTCAGCCTCTGAGAACCCCAAAAGTCTCCCTGCATCAGCATTGGTAAAGTTACCAACACAAAAAGATACCCAAATTGAACCTCTCTCTCCTACTGGAGCCCCTGTTTCCCCAGCACAGGCAGGACTCCCTACCAAGAAAGACTCTACTCTAATACCACTGGCCCTGGCAACCCCTAAAAATCCCCCCTCTCCCCAAAGTATATCATCATCTCTGGAGATAGCTCTTTCTCCTGAAGCCACTTTAGCAAAGAAAAGCCTTGTAGAGCCTCTCTCTGTAGTTACGCCAGCCAGTACTGCTCCCTCTCCTCTGGGTGTTAACTCCCCAACCTCTATAATCAAGACAGATCCTTGTGCAAGTCCATACCCCACTAGTCAGCTTCTCAAAAGTTCTCTCACTACGCCAAACATAGCTGCATTTCCTCTGGAACATGCTGCTACTGCAGGCGTGACTCCTACAACTACCATGGGTACCTCCTCTCCTGCCACTACAGCCAGCCCTTTCCTAGGAGATGTCTCTCTAGCTCATAAAAGCCACCCAGATAAGAAGAGTAGTTCCACTCTTGCTATTTTACCTTTGGTTCCTCCAGCCTCTGAAAGTTGCCCTGTGGCTCCAACTGTGACTTTATCCCCCCAGAATGCTTCCGCTTTTCCAGTTGCCATGGCACTAGCCCCTGATATTCCCAAGTCTGAGCCGTTTCCCTCTCTTCCTCCTCAAGGTGCAAAGAAAGCTCACGGTATTTCTCATACCTCTGCATTGGCACCTGTAGCTGCCTCTCCTGAAGGGCACCCAACCAAGGACTCTGGTACTTCAGTTAATGCATCTTCTGAAGGAGCTTACTTAGCTGACTCTCCATCTCCTTTAGGGACTAGTGTGTCTCCTCAAACTAAAAGATGTCCAACCAAGAAGGGTTCAACTCCTTCTATGACTTTAACTCTTTCTCCTCTTTCAAAAAGTGTTCCTGCTATCCCTGATATTCCTGCTGGAAATCACTCATCCCCTATTTCTCCAATTGAAGCTTCCTTTCTTCCAGAGGCCAGTCTTTCTTTTCAAGTCCCTAAAGGGTCACTGGCCAAGAAGCATTCTCCCACTCCATCCCCCAAAGAGACCCCAGATACCCCATCGCCCAAAGAGGCCTTCACTCCCTTCACTCCAGCTGTGGTTCCTTCCTCCACCAAAGGAGGCCCAGCAATCTCATCCCCCAAAAAGTCGCAAGCAGCCCCAGCCCCCAGAAGAGCCCCAGCTACTCAGTCTCCCAAAGGGACCCCCACTGCCTCAGCTGTGGCTCCTCCCTCCCCCAAAGGGGGCCAAGCAACCCCATCCCCTAAAGAGACCTCTACTCCCCCAACTATGACTCCTTCCTCCCCCAAAGAGGCCCCAGCTACCCAACCTCCCAGAGGGGGCCCCACCACCCAAGCTGTGCCTCCCCCCTCCCCCAAAGAGTCCCCAGCTACCCAGCCTCCCAAAAGAGCCCCAACTACTCCATCTCCCAAAGGGGCCCCCACTGCCCCAGCTGTGGCTCCTTCCTCCCCCAAAGGCGGCCCAGCAACCCCATCCCCTAAAGAAATCTCCACTCTCCCAGCTATGATTCCTTCCTCCTCCAAAAAACCCCCAGCTACCCAACCTCCCAGTGGGGCCCCCACCTCCCAAGCTGTGCCTCCTCCCTCTCCCAAAGAGTCTCAAGCAGCTCCAGCCCCCAAAAGAGCCCCAGCTACTCCCTCTCCCAAAGGGGGCCCAGCAACCCCATCCCCTAAAGAGACCTCCACTCTCCCAGCTATGACTCCTTCCTCCCCCAAAGAGTCCCCAGCTACCCAACCTCCCAAAGGAGCCTCCACCCCCCAAGCTGTGCCTCCTCCCTCTCCCAAAGAGTCTCAAGCAGCTCCAGCCCCCAAAAGAGCCCCAGCTACTCCCTCTCCCAAAGGGGGCCCAGCAACCCCATCCCCTAAAGAGACCTCCACTCCCCCAGCTATGACTCCTTCCTCCCCCAAAGAGGCCCCAGCTACCCAATCTCCCAAAGGGGGCCCAGCAACCCTATCCCCTAAAGAGATCTCCACTCTCCCGGCTATGACTGCTTCCTCCCCCAAAGAGTCCTCAGCTACCCAATCTCCCAAAAGAGCCCTAGCTACTCCATCTCCCAAAGGGGCCCCCACTGCCCCAGCTGTGGCTCTTCCCTCCCCCAAAGGGGGCCCAGCATCCCCATCCCCTAAAGAGACCTCCACTCTCCCAGCTATGACTCCTTCCTCCCCCAAAGAGGCCCCAGCTACCCAACCTCCCAAAGGAGCCTCCACCCCCCAAGCTGTGCCTCCTCCCTCTCCCAAAGAGTCTCAAGCAGCTCCAGCCCCCAAAAGAGCCCCAGCTACTCCCTCTCCCAAAGGGGGCCCAGCAACCCCATCCCCTAAAGAGACCTCCACTCCCCCAGCTATGACTCCTTCCTCCCCCAAAGAGGCCCCAGCTACCCAATCTCCCAAAGGGGGCCCAGCAACCCCATCCCCTAAAGAGACTTCCACTCCTCCAGCTATGACTCCTTCCTCCCCCAAAGAGGCCCCAGCTACTCCATCTCCCAAAGGGTCCCCCACTGCCCCAGCTGTGGCTCCTCCCTCCCCCAAAGGGAGCCCAGCAACCCCATCCCCTAAAGAGACCTCTACTCCTCCAGCTATGATTCCTTCCTCCCGCAAAGAGTCCCCAGCTACCCAGTCTCCCAAAAGAGCCTCAGCTACTCAATCTCCCAAAGGGGGCTCAGCAACCCCATCCCCTAAAGAGACCTCCACTCCCCCAGCTATGACTCCTTCCTACCCCAAAGAGTCCCCAGCTACCCAACCTCCCAAAGGAGCCTCCACCCGCCAAGCTATGGTTCCTTCCTCTCCCAAAGAGTCCCAAGCAACTCCAGCCCCCAAAAGAGCCCCAGCTACCCCACCACCCAAAGAGGCCTCCACTGCCCCAGCTGTGGCTCCTCCCTCCCCCAAAAAATCCCAAGCAACTCCAACCCCCAAAAGAGCTCCAGCAACTCCATCTCCCAAAGGGGGCCAAGCAATCCCATCCCCTAAAGAGATTTCCACTCCCCCAGCTGTGGCTCCTTCCTCCCCCAAAGAGTCCCCAGCTACCCAGTCTCCTAAAGGGACCCCCACTGCAGCTCCTCCCTCCCCCAAAAGAACCCCAGCTACTCCACCTCCCAAAGGGGCCTCCACTGCCCCAGCTGTGGCTCCTCCCTCCCCCAAAGGGGGTCCAGTAACCCCTAAAGAGACTTCCACTCCTCCCACTGTGGCTCCTTCCCCCAAAGAGTCCCCAGCTACCCAACCTCCCAAAGGGGCCCTCACTCCCCCAGCAGTGACTCCTTCCTCAAAAAAAGCCCCAGCTGCCCCATCTGTCAAAGGGTCCCTTACTCCCTCAGCTGTGACTCCTTCCTCCCACAAAGAGTCTCTGGCAACTCCAGCCCCCAAAGGGGCCCCAGCAACCCCATCTCCCAAGGGGGCCTCCACTCCCCCAGCTGTGACTCCTTCCTCTCCCAAAGAGTCTCTGTCAACCCCAGCCCCCAAAGGGACCTCAGCAACTCCATCCTCCAAAAGAACCCCAGGAGGAACCCCAGCCTCCATAGCAACTCCATCCCCCAAGAGAGCCCCAGCTACCCCATCCAGAGGTGCCCCCACTCCTTCATCTGAGATTCCTCCCTCCCCCAAAGAGACCCCTACTTCTCCAGTTTCAGTCACATGTCCCTTGGGGTCCATTGCCCCTCAGGCTTCTAAAGGCCTACCAGTAAAGAAAGGCTCCACAGCTCTCAAAGCAGGACTTGTTGCCCCAGCTCCAGAAAGTGCACCAGTTGTCACAGCTCCCTCTGAGAAAGGTCCACTGGCCAAGAAGAGTTCTACTACTTCACCTCCTCTGTGCCCAGATCCTTCAGCTAAGAACGGTACTAAAGGACCCCTTTCTACAATGGGTCCAGCCCCGCTGACAGTCTCTGCTCAGAAAGTCTCTTCAAAGACTCCCAAAACCCTCTCTGTTTCTGCATTAAAAAGCAAAGATTCTTTTCATTCCCCAAAGAGCCCTTTGACTCTTCCTCTTGAGCGTGTGACGTCTACTCCGCTAGCAACCGTTTCCTCTGAGAAGGTCCTTCCTAAAGCTGGATCAGCATCTATCCCTCCAGCACCCACCCCATCAGTCTCTCTGCCTCTCGCTCCCTCCCCAGTTCCCCCTCTGCCTCCTAAACAGCAATTTCTGCTGGAATCACCCTGTAAGCCCTCAGCCCCTGCTGATGAGGATGAACTGCCGCCTCTGATTCCCCCGGAACCAATCTCGGGGGGAGTGCCTTTCCAGTCGGTCCTCGTCAACATGCCCACCCCCAAACCTGCTGGGATCCCTGCCCCAACCCCCTGTGCCAAGCAGCCTGTTCTGAAGAACAACAAGGGTATTTGCCTTGGTTTGCTGTGTGCATGGTGTGTCGCCCACACCCCTCCTGGGGCTACCCACCAATACTAACCCTAGGATGCGCCGCTTTCTCCAGTATATCTGCTTGTGTTTGGACATAGAACATAGAATGATAATTTTAAATGCAAAAGCTCTAGGAATGTGAAACAATCTTGGTTTTCATCACCTCAGATAGTCTGTTCTGTATCATCTTGTATAATATGGTTCAAGCTAACCCTGGATCTGCCATCTTTTTTACCTGAGTGATCTGACATTGAAAACCAAGACCTATTAGACCTTTTAATTTGCTCTAATCTCTACCACATAACTAACCTTGTCCCTGGGCCTGGGATTTGCTAAAATGTTGGGAAATATGGAACTATTTGAATTTCTTTTCACGTCTTAGATTTAGTAATGACCAGTGCCCAAGTGACTCCCTTTTCAAGACTTTTTTTTCCTAGCCTGAGAATGGTACAGGTGTATGCTTTTTTCTCTCAGTAGTCTTTATTGATGCTTGGCCTTCTGGTTGAGGTAAACTTAAAATACATGAATTACATTTGGAAGAAATGGGAGAGGTCACAGGACAGGCTCTAACAGATGACTGTTAGAACGATAGATTGGCAGTCACTGAGAATCTTCAGGCTGTGTTGATGAAACCAAATTGCTAGGGTAAGTGGTTTGAAAACAAGGCTAAATGTGTGTACACAACTGCTTCTGGCCTTCCCCAACTCAGTATAAAGCATGAGGGGAGTGTCCTCCCTGGTCTTCCTCCACAACGTGATCTTACAGCTATTTCACTTAAATGTATCTGGAGATCCCTTGTCTGCCATAACCTTTAAGGGATGGTTGGGCTGTCAGGTAGAATTTGGAGTTACGTAGGTCATTGGTGTTGGCCTGTGCCAAGTGAAGACCTTGAGAGAAAGGAAGCAGTTACTGTTTATAAACTGCTTGGCTGTAACTAGTAAATTACCTCTTTATTTCTGGGGCTGGGTCTTTAATGGATGTGTACACACTAGTTTATGGCTAAGGAGGCTGTCAAGCTGGCTTCATACAAGTCAGTTGGTTTGCATTTAACTTTGTGAGGTCTAACATAAGCCAGGGACCTCTAGTCCAGGCAGGCTATGGTGAGGTGCCTCCTCCCTATAATCTACTGTAAAATTTTAAAGTTATTTGTCATCTCAGGGTCTGGAACAGAATCTGACAGTGATGAATCAGTACCAGAGCTTGAGGAACAGGATTCCACACAGGCAACCACACAACAGGCCCAGGTGGGTGTTCTGTTCTCTTACTTGCTGGTCAGAGTACTTGAGTCGAGGAAGCATTGAAGAACAAGGGTTGATCAGAGAAGCTGACTTCAGTATTTGGAAATGTGAACCTTCATAAAGGGAAAACCTTATGGGGATTGTGATATCTAGGCCTTATATTCCAGTTTACTCATAGCTGTTTTATCTTCTTAGCTGGCAGCAGCCGCTGAAATCGATGAAGAACCAGTCAGTAAAGCAAAACAGAGCCGGAGTGAAAAGAAGGCACGGAAGGTAAGGTTTTAAGTTACAAACAAGGATTAAAGGTTCTGATAAAGCAGCTTTAGAGAGGGGGAACTGTAGTGGTAGGATCATATTTAAAGTGATAGAAATTACTGTAGCAAAAAAAAACAGGAGTCCTGGAAACCAATTCTGTATTATCTAAAGTTAGCCTAGGGGGCACCTGGGTGGCTCAGTCATTAAGCGTCTGCCTTCGGCTCAGGTCATGATCCCAGGGTCCTGGGATCAAGCCCCGCATCAGGCTCCCTGCTCAGCAGGAAGCCTGCTTCTCCCTCTCCCATTCCCCCTGCTTGTGTTCCCTCTCTTGCTGTGTCTCTGTCAAATAAATAAATAAAATCTTAAAAAATAATAATAAAGTTAGACTAGGAAAAGGCTCTCTTTTTGTTTTGTTACCTTTTTATTTAAATTCAATTAATTAACATGTATTACTGGTTTCAGAGGTAGAAGTCAGTGATTTCATCAGTCTTTTTTTAGGATTTTATCTATTTGAGAGAGAGAGCACAAGCAGGGAGGAGGGTCAGAGGGAGAGGGAGAAGCAGACTCCCTGCTGAGCCGGGAGCCTGATGCGGGGCTCGATCCCATCCTGGGATCACGATCTGAGCCGAAGGCAGACGCCCAACCAAGCCACCCAGGTGCCCCAATTCATCAGTCTTCTATAATACCCAGTGCTCATTACATCATATGCCCTCCTTAATGTCCATCACCCAGTTACCCCATTCCCCTACCCACCCCCAGCAACCCTCAGTTAAGGCTTTGCTTTGGATATAGTTCTTTACTTCCTAAAGCTTCTTTTTTAAGATTTTATGTATTTGAGTGAGAGAGAGAATGCCTGCAGGGGGAGGGGTAGAGGGAGAAGCGGACTCCCTGCTAAGTGCAGAGTCTGATGTGGGGCTCAGTCTCAGTCTCACAACCCTGAGATATGACCTGAGCCGAAATCAAGAGTTGGACATTCAACCAGCTGAGCCACCCAGGTTCCCCTCTGAAGCTTCTTCTAGAGAAGTTGAAAACCTGATGTTCTTTTCTATTTCTTAGGCTATGTCCAAACTGGGTCTTCGACAGGTTACAGGGGTTACAAGAGTCACTATCCGGAAATCTAAGAATATCCTCTTTGTCATCACAAAACCAGATGTCTACAAGAGCCCAGCTTCAGATACCTACATAGTTTTTGGGGAAGCCAAGGTAAAGAAAATTTTCTTGGACGCAATCTAGACCAGGGTTTCTCAACCTCAACACTATATATTGATGGAGTTGGATAATTCTTTGGTGTGGAATTTGGGGTCAGATAATTCCTTGTTGTGGAGGGGCTTTCCTGAGTGTTAAAGATGGTTAGCAACATTCTACCCAGCTGCGATAACCAAAAAAATCTCTAGGCATTTGATAGATATCCCTGGATGACAAAATCACCTCCCAGTAGAGAACCACTGCTTTAGACCTAAACTAGTTCTCTTTGTACAGTGATATGTACTCTTAGTGAGGGCAAGCAATTAAAGCTATATAGTAAGTTAACCTGAAGTGGCTTTAGAGTGAGAGTTTGGAAAAGATACAAACGATTTATTTCATTTACTACAGACCGATCTGTTCATACAAATCTATATTTTTTGCCCTATAGATCGAGGATTTATCTCAGCAAGCACAACTAGCAGCTGCTGAGAAATTCAAAGTTCAAGGTGAAGCTGTCTCAAACATTCAAGAAAACACACAGACTCCAACTGTACAAGAGGAGAGTGAAGAAGAAGAGGTATATAGGGAAATCTTTTATACTTTTAATCCTCTCCAGATAGTCGTATTTTGTGTGGGGTTTTCTTTTAAGATTTTTATGTATTTATATTATATATATAATATGTATTATTTATAATATAAAATTATTTATTCATGAGAGACAGAGAAAGAGGCAGAGGGAGAAGCAGGCTCCCCGAGGAGTAGGGTTGCACGACTCGGGGCTCAATCCCAGGACCCCGGGATCATGACCTGAGCTGAAGACAGACGCTTAATGAACTGAGCCACCCAGGCACCCAGTATTGTTTTGTAGTGACGGGTGCATGCTATATTGCTTTAGGTTCTCAAAATCAATTGACTTAAATAGTTTCTGAGTTATATTAAGAACTAGATTCAGGGGTGCCTGGGTGGCTCAGTCGTTAAGCGTCTGCTTTTGGCTCGGGTCATCATGCCAGGGTCCTGGGATTGAACCCTGCATCGGGCTCCCTGCTCGGCGGGAAGCCTGCTTCTCCCTCTCCCACTCCCCCTGCTTGTGTTCCCTCTCTCGCTGTCTCTCTCTGTCAAATAAATAAAATCTTTATGAAAAAAAAAAAACTAGATTAAAGAGACCCGTGACTCCCAAGAACTACTGGAGTTGTTCTTGGCCTTTAGGTTATTGTGCTTTTTTTCCTTCTCTTAGGTTGATGAAACCGGTGTAGAGGTTAAGGACATAGAATTGGTCATGTCACAAGCAAATGTGTCAAGAGCAAAGGCAGTCCGAGCCCTGAAGAACAACAGTAATGATATTGTAAATGCTATTATGGTAAGTGTCCAAGCCCCAAACCTTTATTCCTTTACCTCTTCTGCCCTGACCAGTTATGGATGACTTTATTTTCTGTACTTAGTATCAGCCAGTTAGGAAGCTTCATTCCAAAGCCTATTCTGAGTTACCTCATATTTTAGTGGCCTGAATTCTCAATTTGCCTATAACTGCTTCTAATGATCTCTTTTCTTACAGGAATTAACAATGTAACCATCTGAAAACGAGGACTTTTTTTGGTGTTTCAAAAGAATAACTGCAGCTTGGTTTGAAATTTGTACTGTTTCTATCATTAATAAAGTTATGGCTTCTTGTTGGATGAACTCAGTGGGTGCTTGGTCTCTTCCCACCAACCCCCCCCCAAAAAAAAAAAAAAAAACATGAAGGCTCTAGAAATGAAAACATGTAATTACTTGTAAGGCCTCAGCTTCAGTTGAAAAGGTTTAATGCCACAGATTCCTCACTTAAAATCTCAGTCTTTTCATCTCTTAAAGATACTATAGTAGGCTATCTGTTAGGACTTTATTGTCTTCATAGAATAGAACTTAACATGTAAAGTTTCTCCTTTCCATTTTCTTTCCCAGATGTTAACTGTTAGTAAATCGTGTCTTCTATATTTAATAATCAGCCCTCTTTTCTGGCCTACAATTTTTGAATATATATATTGGACCTTACCTGGCCTCTGAGAAGCAGTTCACATTGTTTACATCTTGATATGTAGGAGCTTGGTGCAGGGTTGGAGAGGGTGCATAATGGATGTGGATGAAAAGACTGCACTTTGTAATAAAATGCAAAGGTACCTCGTGAAGGGAGCTTTTGACTGTATACAGTGCAAACACTCTGCTCTCAAGACATACACTATACAGACATTTTGATGTACAAAATAAATTATGATTAGGGTAGCCATAATTATGTTAGGACAGTAAGTGAAAACCAGGCAAACTGATAAATAATGATTAACCAGTGTATGAAAAAACACACAACTCCATAGAAGTCCTAGGAGAAGAGTAAAGCTTCTGAGTTTGGGGGTTGTTAGAAAATGGTTTGGAGGGGGAAAGCAGAGGACTAAAATTTGGAAATGGGAAGGCTAAAAGTAAATGTAGCGGCAAGAATCCTTAAACAAGTAAGTGATAATACACCTAGAAGAAATGTTAGGATGGGAATAAATCAGACACATGGTAGGAGGCTTTAGGGACTACAGTTTAGACCTTTCTATTCCTGAATTCAATGGTTTTTTTTTTAAAGATTTCATTTATTTATTTGACAGAGACACAGTGAGAGAGGGAGCACAAGCCGGAGGAGTGGGAGAGGGAGAAGCAGGCTTCCCGCTGAGCAGGGAGCCCGATGCGGGGCTTGATCCCAGGACCCTGGGATCATGATCTGAGTTGAAGGCAGGCGCCCCTGAATTCAATTTTTTTAAGATTTATTTATGTACGTAATCTCTTTACCCAACATGGGGCTTGAACTCCCAACCTCAAGGTCAAGAGTCCTATGCTTCTCTGACTGAGCTAGCCAGGTGCCCCTTGAATTCAGTTTTCTTGATCCCTATGAGAGTAGATACTATTTTAACAGATGTGAGTGAAAGTTGAGGACCAAAGAGGTTAAATGACTTCCCCCAAAAACAGCCACTCTCTGAGTAGGGTCTTTTCATTCTGGTAGGCTGTATTGGTAAGAAGTGGTAGACTATCCTGGAGAACCACAAATTGACATCTGGCTGAGGATGATGACCTGCTTCCATTTTACCGGGATAGAACCGTTCATTTGCTGAACAAAAGTCTTGAGGCTGGGATACCTGGGTGGCTCGGTTAGGTATCTGCCTTCAGCTCAGGTCATGATCCTGGGGTACTGGGATCGAGTCCCACGTCCGGCTCCCTGCTCAGCAGAGGACCTGCTTCTCTGCCTGCTGCTCCCCCTGCTTGTGCATGCTCTCTTGCTCTCGCTCTGACAAAATCTTTAAAAAAAAAAAAAAAAGAAATGTACAACTAACTTTGTCACAGAATGATCAAATTTTTGGTTCTCAAATTAGGGAATGTATAATTTGAGCAAATTTCTTGAAGAATTACTTTCCTGGTTCTTAAAATGATTAGGTCTCTATTCAAATACTCAATAAACCCTTTTTTTTTTTTAAGCTTTTATTTATTTATTTGACAGAGACACAGCGAGAGAGGGAACACAAGCAGGGGGAGTGGGAGAGGGAGAAGCAGGCTTCCCGCGGGGCAGGGAGCCCGATGCAGGGCTCAATCCCAGGAGCCTGGGATCATGACCTGAGCTGAAGGCAGATGCTTAACGACTGAGCCACCCAGGCGCCCCAATCCTTTTTTTTTTTTTTTTAAGATTTTGAGAGCAGAGAGAGAGAGCACGGGGCTGGAGGGGGGGGGGAGACAGAGGGAGAAGCAGATTCCCCGCAGAGCAGGGACGCTTGACCTACTGAGCCACCCAGGCGCCCCTGAACAGACTAACAATGATATTTTAAGTAACCTCTGACCTCCTCTGTTAAAAAAAAAACAACCTGATACTCCCAAAACATGTATAGGATTGTTGGAAGCATTTTGTTAAGAATCTGTGAAACTGGCACTGGTTATTTACTGAATGACCATTCTGATTTCTAAAGGGGAAAAAAAAAAAACAGTAAGCCAATTTAGTTAGGTATACTCTCACCATGTTTCTCCATTAGCAGATTTTCTTTTTATTTGGGAAATACTTCAGACATGCAGATGAAGGACTGTAAAGGACTATGTGTACCTGTCATCCAACTGTTTTGTTTTTTAGAAATTAAACCTTACAGATAGGTATGGAGACCACTGTATATCCTTCCTCAAACCTATTTCCCTCCCTCAGAGGTACCATTATCATGAGCTAGTGTTTTATAATTTCTGTATGTAAGTTGATGTTCTGTCAATACATATTTATGTACCCAAAGAAGTTAGTGATCTACAAGTTTTAAAACTTTAAACAAAATTGTACATTACATATCATCCTGCAAATTTCTTTTCACTTCAACTTTGTTTCCATGGTTTATCTATGATGATAGATGTAGCTCTATTCATTCCCTTACCAGTCCATGGGAGTGTGGCTTTTATCTGTACCTTTCCACCAAATGGCTCTTAAGTTCACCTAGTTGATAATTCTAATGGGCATTCTTCATGCATGGCTACATTTGTCTTTTCTTGAAATTAGTCTCCTTAACATCCCCTTGGTTTCTCTTAAATTTGTTTCATCTTCAGTTTCAAGATCCCCAAAATTACTTCCATTATCTGTCTACCCTGTCAAAATTTTCCTATGTTTTCCCTGTTAACAGCTCATGAATGACACAGCTGTCCATTTGGTTGTATAAAAAAGAAACCTGGTCTTTGCAACAAATGGTGCTGGGGAAACTGGATATCCACATGGAAAATAATTTTCCAAAGAAAGAGAAATTAACTACAAATGGATCAAAGACCTAAATATAAGACCTAAAACCATAAAACTCTAAGAAGAAAACAGGAGGAAAGCTTCATGCCTTTGATTTGGCAATGATTTATGCAATACCAGAAGCATAGGCAACAAAGTAGGTAGGAGTGCCTGGCTGGCTCAGTAGAGCATATGACTCTTGATCTCAGGGTGGTAAGTTCAGGCCCCATGTTGGGTGTAGAGATTGCTTTAAAAAAAAAAAAAGTAAATTGTATTTCCCCCAAATTTAAAATTTCTCTGCAACAAAGGACATAAATCAACAATAAAAAGGCAACCTACAGGGGTACCTGGGTGGCTCAGTCAGTTAAGTTTCTGCCTTTGCTGCAGGTCATGATCCTGGAGTCCTGGGATCGAGCCCCACTTCGGGCTCCTTGCTCAGCAAATGCCCTCTCCCTTTCTCTCTCTCTCTGTCTCTCTCACAAATAAAATCTTACCAAAAAAAGGACAACCTACAGATTGTGAGAAAATATTTGTAAATGACTTATCTTGATGAGGGGATAGTATCCAGAATAGATAAAGAACTATAGGTCAACAACAACAACAACACACACACAACTTAAAAAGTGGGTAAAAGACTTGAACAGATATTTTCCCAAAGAAGTTCTACAAATGGGCAAAAAGCACATGAAAGCACACATCATCATTAACCATTAGGGAAATGCAAGTCAAAACTACAGTGAGATAGCACCTCAAACGTGTTAGAATAGCTACAATTGAAAGGAAAGCGTTAGGGACCCCTAGGTGGCTTAGTTGGTTGAGCGTCTACCTTTGGCTCAGGGCATGATCCCAGGGTTCTGGGATTGAGTCCCACGTCAGGCTCCCTGCTCAGCAGGAAGCCTGCTTTTCTCTCTCCCTCTGCCTGCCACTCCCCCTGCTTGTGCTCTCTCTCCCTTTCCCTTGCAAATGAATAAATAAAATCTTTTTTAAAAAAGGCGGGGGAGTGTTGGAAAAAATGAAAAAAATGGGAACCGCTGTGCACTGTTAATGGGAAAGTAAAATGGTGTCCTTGCTATGGAAAACAGTATGCTAATTCTCAAAAAATTAAAAATAGAATTACCATGTGATCTAGTAATTCCACCTTTGGGTACAGACTCCAATCGAATCAGGGCCTCAGAGACATCTGTATATCCATGCAGCATTCATAATTGCCAAAAGGTGGAAGCAACCTAAGTGACCTTCACAGATAAATGAATAAATGCAGTATACCCATACAATGGAATAGTATTCAGCCTTAAATGGAAGGAAATTCTGGCACATGCTACAACATGGATGAACCTTAAGGACATTAAGCTATATAAAGTAAGCCAATCACAAAAGGACAAATATTGTATGATTCCAGTTATATAAGTTACCTAGATTTGTCAAATTCATAGAGACAGAAAATAGAATGGTGTTTGCGAAGGGTTGGAGGAGGGAGAGGAAGAGTTATTGTTTAACGGGTACAGAATTTCAAATGTTGGGGAAGATGAAAAGTTCTGAAGATAATTGATGAGGTTGCACAACAATGTGAATATACTTAATCTCACTGAATTATACACTTAAAAATGGTTAGG